GCTTACAGTCCAATTTCCGGTTGCCTGTGAGGTCCGAGGAAAATCTTTTGTCTATTTTCGAAAAAATCAAAGTAAAAATGAAGTAAATGAATTCCGTTCTGTATTCGGACTTACAAAGGAAGGCTTTTACTGCCAAGAGAGTACGCTGAATGAACAGGGTCAGAAAGAAAAGCCAGGCAGAGCCTCGGCAAAGTTCTGCTGATTCTCCGCTTTGCAGTGTTGCGGCAGAATGAACACTCCCCCTCATTTTGAAAATTGAAAAAATTAGATGTGACATGTTATAGCAATTTGAAAAAAAAATCGTCGTATAACATGACACACCTAATTTTTCTCAATTTTCAAATGGGGGGAGTGTTCAAAAAAGGGGAGAGTTCGGATTTTTTGGTGAAAATTAAAAAAGGGGGAGAGTTCAGGCTGAACCGCTTTGCAGGTTCAGAAATTGTCGACGATTTTTACATGGTTGTGAAGGAGCATGAAAAATGAAAAAATGACAGATGAAAAACAATCGATGGCCTTATCTTTACGTGACTGACATTGTGTGCCATTTAGGCAATACAAAACGTAAACGTATTATAAAATATCCGAAGACCTTCAACCATCCTTCCTCAGCACGTATTAGTACATATTAATGAACGTACAGTGGCGGACTGGATCCATTGACAAAAAACATACCATGTCGGGTTTCAAAAATGTGTCAAAAAACCTCCATTTCCAAGTGAAAGACTCCGATTTTAAAAGCGCGCTCTTCAAAATGAAGTTTTTTCACTTGGAGAGGGAAGTATTTTGTCACATTTTTGATCCTTCCCGGATGCAGAATGGTACGTTTTTTGCCACTGGATCCGGTTCTCTACTGTACATATTAATAGATAGGGTTTGCAGAGTTTGATGCTTATACAAACAACTTTTGTTCAACACCTGCATTTCGTTGCCACCGGGAGTCTCGTTGCTCTCTTTCAACACCATTATCCATACCCGATTATTCAAGTTAACCTCTCATAATTCCACTAATAAAATTCTACTGTAAAACACAAACTACTGGAACTTTCTCTTGCTTCGCGACGCCCCGCCCCCAAAGACTGTAACAATTGACATCATGCGAACTTGGCTTTCTTTTCAAACCCCCTCAGGTCTCAATTTCCACAAACTTTTTGGCCGAGGACTTGTCTCGAGAAAACAGCAAAAGAAGGCGTGTCCGAAACTATACAAACTTTGAGAAGGTCAAGGAAACACAAGGCAAATTGAGGAGAGCCGAAGAGAAGATTTATGGTTTTACAAATCATTGAAAATAACGGTTACAAGCAAGTTTCTGGTCATTTATGGGAATGACAGGGGTCGGGATGGTGGCTAACTTTTATTGAGATACCTCCTATTACAGACGGGCAGAAGGGTTTTGAGCATTGCCTCAAGGCATGGGAAGATATACGCTCATTTTACAGGACATTACGCATAGATAGCCTACGTTTTCAACTTATAACTGACAAGGGCTCGGCAAAACCTCGTCCCCTGGTTTCTTGTTGAAACATACACCATTTGAAAGAGCGCAAAAAACTGGTTTAGAATCACCTTTAATTAGCTGCTAAGATTCACTTACGTGCTAGCTAGCGAGCATTTTTTAGTTCTAAGCTAGCCTCACCCTTCTTTCGAGAAAACAAAGGCGATCGATTTCAAAAGCACAGCGGAGCAGTGCTTCGGTGGCCGAGTGGGGTAAGGCGCTGTACAAGGAGGACCTGCAGCCCAGGTTCGAATCCCTTTTCGAATTTTTGGATTTTTTTTGGCTATTATGAATGAGCAGGGCTATCAGATAGCCTTTAATTTTCAAATTGATTTTTGAGGTACTATGGATTTGTTTAGTACGAAAAATCGACAACTTTTTTTGATTTTTTTTGATATAGGGGGTACTTGGTCCTGCAGTGGGAACCCAAGATGGACGAAACTTTCAACGGCTTTAAAAATTTTTACTAGGAATGCCCATTTATGGAAAGCACATGAAAAACGAGTCTGAAAACGGTCTACATGTTTAAAACCTCCTAGTTTTCTTGGGTTACAGGACCTAAAACATCGCGTAACCAGTCATTGTGAACATCGACCTGAGAGTTTCAAGCTTGATAAAAATTTTATATTTTTTGAACTTGGTGGAAGCGTTCAATGTCATAGGTGAGTAATATTTGTATGAAAAGTGATTATTCGATCTCGTTGACCTCTTAGAAGAAAAGAGTCCCATAATCTAATTGGGATTTTTTTTAAAAACGTCCGCTAGCTAGCACGCAAGAGAATCTTAGCAGCTAATTGAAGGTGATCCTAGACCAGTTTTTTGCGCTCTTTCAAATGGTGTATGTTTCAAGAAGAAACCAGGGGACGAGGTTTTGCCGAGCCCTTGTGAGATATGTAACTTACTGTGTACACAAAACATTCATTGACAATTTGAAAATTTATGCGGATGAGAAGTTTTGGAAAAAAATCCGTTGTTCTTTAAACAAGTTTAATTTGCGATTTCGGCGATTTCCACCGTACAAACGACGGTTAAAGGTCAAGAAAAACGTTTTATAACCACAGCTGTGATTTGTGTTGAGAGCCGACTCTTTCCATCGTCGGAATTTTCAGGTTGTTGGATGGCAGTTTATGTAGTTTGATCCAGTGGCAAAAAACGTACCATTTTGCGTCCGGGAAGTATCAACAATGTGGCAAAACACCTCCCTCTCAAGTGAAAAAAAACTTAATTTTGAAGGGCTCACCCTTTTTTTCACAAAAAGACCGGGCGCGTTTTTGAATCTGAGTTTTTCACTTGGAGAGGGAGGTATTTTGCCACATTTTTTGATGCTTTCTGGATGCAAAATGGTACGTTTTTTGTCACTAGATCAGGTCCCTCATTCTAATAGTGGAGAAGATTTAGAAGACTTTTCGACACTGTCTTCTTCTGATCTTTCAAAGGACAAATTAAGATTGCAAAGCATACCTTTAGCGGCAAAATTTGAAGGTCCAACTTCGCCCAATCTTAATCAAATTTCTGACACCTTCATCTCCAAATTAAACCTGAATTTGCGCGGCTCTCGGAAGATCACTTTTCGACATAGTTGAACCGTGAAATGATTAGGAAGCCGGGCTAAAATCAAAACCCTTCAAAATTTGGCGCGTGGCGTCAACCCTTTTGCGCCGCCGCCGATTTTGCGTTTGTAGCGGCGGGAATCAACTTCCTTCTCGGCTGAGATCTCTCGGGGAACGGTCGTAATGTCTCGGGAATTTGTTACAGCGGCCCGATCAAAATTCACCCGGAAGTCCGAAAATGTTTCAAAAAGGGCTCCCAATAAGCGTTGGAGCAGACGGAAAGTCCCGGAATTATTGTGCCCGGCGTTGTCTTGGTCTTCGATCCACAGATAGCCTGGGGATTCGGGAGGGCTACTGTAGATGGAAGGGGATTTGCAGACAGGAAAAAAGTGAGACCTGGAGTGTATGAAATTGCGAATTTTCAAATGTTGCCACCTTCTGACGCTCTTTATAAGACTTCAAAGTTGTCATGACAGTTTCATCTCATGTCCATGTTAACTTAATTTGCTTTTATTAGAATTATTATAATAATTTCTGCAACTCTCTTTATCAACGGTGGCTTAGGGGACTGTAATATTTCAGATTCAAGAAATTCTTAATCTTTCGGACGGTCTTTGTGATCAGGGCAGGCTGTGGTTTGTAGGTCATGCTCTATTTGTCCTGTAATTGTGGCCAATTAAATTATTTGGCAAAATTTTACCTGGCGTCTTAAATGCCGGGCATTCTGGGTCTTTCTTTGATGGCCCTGTACAATAAAAAAAGAGCGCATCCGTGACAATTGGCCTGGCGGTGTTTAGCGGCCAAGTAGGTCTTCCCAATATAATGAAAACACTAAGAACCAGGCCGAAGAGAGAGCCTAGGTCTTGAGGTGTACTTACCAATTTATCTGCCGTGTGCTGAAACTCTCTTTCATTATAAAATCGACCACATTTAATGGTCGATTTTACTTAGTCTCGACCACATTCTACAGTTCTTCCAAGTATTTCCAGCTCCCGAAATTCAGTGTTTTAACCTCCACCGTAATCCACCGTAATCCTCTAGATCTCTTCAAATTACCGATTCCAGCCCAGAAAGTAATTTCGCCTAAGGGGTGGAGCCTAATTCTAATTTTAGCGACTAGTACTCTCCGAGAAACCCAACTCTATTTGTGCATCAAGAAGTGTCACTCTCTTCTTCTCAGCAAAAAAACCCGAATCTTTCTTTCGCCCGTTTCGCCTACGGTAGGCGCCTACATAAAGAGCAGTTGTCCTAGTTTTTTTGGAATATTGGAGAGCGCTCGTTGGGTTGTAGTTTCAGAATCCTGGAACATTCTGGGCACTTGGTATTTTCTAGAGATGGGGGATGATTTTTAGTATCTATTGCTTGCAAAAACAGTTTCAATACAGATGTATCTGATTCCAATCTTTTAAAATCTTGTTTTAATGTCTGCAAGAACCTTGTAAAAGGATTTGCAGGCGTTTATTTCCGTTCTGGTGATCCAAATTTTACTAAACAAAGGATCTTCTTCTTTTTTATGTCATCATTTTTCTTTCCATAGTATTTCCTTCGTATCACACACAATATAAAAACGTATCTACGAGTTGTATTCACGATCTTATCAGATATAGCATCTCCGGTTGAACTTTCCATAACATGCAATTTTATAATTAGTAACCTCCAAAATAGGGCATTTCTTGCTCCTTGTTTTGTAGTTAAAGTTGTATGATATGATTGGTGAATTTGCCTCTTGAGTGAGCAAATGCTCCAACGTTGACGCAACTTACAATTCGCTACACTCGCTTTTTGCACTTGAACCGCTCGTAGACGTTGTTAATCTCCAAAAATCATCTGTATCAAGTTTTTGAATCCTATAAAAGTCGTACGAGGCGTAATTGAAGGTCGGTTCGCTTATTTTTGCGAGTATAAAAGACAATTGCTGGCTCATTATAAAGGGTATGCGAATTTGTAATTTTAGTGGCATGGCGGTTATCGTGAACCCGTTCATTGTGGCGACGTTGCTCACATTTGTCATAGTCAAACTGACGTCATGGCTGTGGTAAGTATGGGACTACTTGTAGTATGTAATATTGCTTCATAGAGTGTCGTAAGAGGACACAAAAAAATGCTTTTAGCAGGAAGTTTTATAACTTATTTTTAAGTAAGTTATTGCTTATAAAATCTCTAGGTAATTGGAGAGAGAGGGTTAGAAAAAAGCCAAGTCCCTTTTTGAAAATATTTACAAGCGCGTTGGAGTCAAATTTTTCTTAATTTTCCATAGACCCTTGCTACACCAATGCTTTTTCACTCTTTGTATGACGCCTACACAGCCCCAAATTCATCTTTAAAATGTGAACTTTTGATCTGCCTTTTGTTTGTTCGCGTACCAACCAGATCACAATACCACTAGAGATCCCTACAAAAACCTACAAAGATCTTTGTCTCCTCAGCGACTCGTATGAGGAAATAGAAGCTAGGTTGATTCATCAGCGAGAGCCACTCAACAAATGGTTTGAAACAATAAACTTTTTTTCCATTCTAGGCATCGCTACCAGAAAATCCGGCAATGCGATGAACTCGGCCTCAAAGGCCCTCCGGCAAACTTAATTCTCGGGAATTTCTCGCAAATGAAACAACTTCTGGCTGAGCTCAACAAAACCGGAGATGTTCGTCATTTTTGCGCCGATCTCATCCAAAAATATGGTAGCACGGTGAGATTTCTACTCGGCGCCGACCTCCAAGTCTTGACGGTAGATCCAAAAGTCATCAAGGAAGTTTTCGTCACAAAATTCAGCAAATTCACCAATCGACCGGTAAGGAGTTGGGATGTTTATTGGGTACTCTTTATCTTAAACTTTTTTTAGTGTTTAAGAGTAAATCTGTGGTGTTTAATAAGAGTAATACGGGGTGTTTTCAGGCCGCATTTTTCAATACCTACCCATTAGGAGAGAGTGTTCTAGCCGTCTCCAGAGCCGGCTGGCCCGGCCGAAAATATGGCTGGAAAGAAATTAGATCCACTGTTCAACAATCTCTTCGTCCCAGCAGAATCAAGATGGTGAGTGCTTCATTATAGCCGATACTTTTTGAAGTTTTATTCAAAAAATTGTCCAACATTCATTTCCACCATTTTCAGATGTTCCCGGTAATGCTGAACCAAACCAAAACCTTGATGAACAGCTGGAGAAAACAGATAAACGATGGCGAGACCAAGGAGTTTGGCATTTATGAGTAAGTGCCCATTCACATATTATACAATAGCCTTACATTGTAATCGCCATTTACCTTTTAAAACACGATTTCTGACTCGGTGAATTAGCCGTGGACATAGGAATTTTTCGATTTTGAGATTTACAGCTGAATATGTCCGCACCCATCATATAAGTGTGTTCCTGAAGCCTTTTGCCCTAATTCTCCCGTTAACCTAGTTTTATTTACAATTTAAGAAATTTACAGTAACGTAAAATAGCTCAAAATTGAGAAGATACTGAGCCGTAAAATTGTTACCATATATGTTTTTGGGCACTGGGAATCCAATGGAGGTGATTTCGGATCGAAAGGATTACTGTAACATAGCAAACTTACGCTTCGGCCGCACAAAATCGGCCGTAAAAAAGTTGTTTCTAAAAACCCACAGCTGAATTTTTGATATGTTAATCAGCATAAAATTCTGCCCTAGAAACATTCAAAAAAAGTCCAAAAATCCGTGTTGCTATTTTCGTGGTATAGTGGATTTTGACAAAATCTATCAATCTGACGTCCCGGGTTCGAGTCCGGGTGGGCGCAAATCACTGAGAATTGGTCGGGAATGACTTCAATGAAGGGAATATATAAGCTTGAGTTTATTTTAGGTGATTTTGATAAGATTCTGACAGTTTTCAGATTTTTTTTGGCTAAAAAAGCCGAAAATACAACTTTTTGACAAATCGTATTTTACACTGCTTTTTTGTGTTCCTGACACAATAAGAATGTATATGTAGTGTTTGTAAGGGGTCTCCAACAAGTAGAAACCATTTCCTGAATATTTGGACATTATACTTGGTATCTGTTAATCTTGCCTCATACAGACATCTGTGGGAACTATAATCTTGGCTAGTGACAACGTAATTCACTGCTTTGTGACCATACTTCACATTTTTTTCAGAAAACGGTTCATTATTGAAGTGATTTTCTTCTATAGAACAATTGATGAAACGCGGAGAAAATTTCATTTTCAAACTAGATTTCTTGTGGTTACCCGCCAAATAGTTGAAATTTTATGCTAGTTATACCATTTACGGACAATTTGGCAAGTCAGAGCAAAAGAAAGTGCAATCTGGAAGATCTATCCACTTCCTGCTTATCAGGTGTCAAGTACAACATTAAACCAATTTTTTAACGGGTGGGATTGTCGAAGAACCCCTTAAAATTGTTACATATAAGTTTTTATTGTGTCATAAACACAAAAAACAGTGTAAAATACGATTTGTCAAAAAGTTATATTTTCGGCTTTTTTCCACCAAAAAATCTGAAAACTCTTCAGAATCTTATAAAAATCACCTAAAATAAACTCAAGCTTATATATTCAATCCAATGAAGTCATTCCCGACCAATTCTCAGTGATTTGCGCCCACCCGGACTCGAACCCGGGACGTCAGATTGATAGATTTTGTCAAAATCCACTATACCACGAAAATAGCAACACGGATTTTTGGACTTTTTTTGAATGTTTCTAGGGCAGAATTTTATGCTGATTAACATATCAAAAATTCAGCTGTGGGTTTTTAGAAACAACTTTTTTACGGCCGATTTTGTGCGGCCGAAGCGTAAGTTTGCTATGTTACAGTAATCCTTTCGATCCGAAATCACCTCCATTGGATTCCCAGTGCCCAAAAACATATATGGTAACAATTTTACGGCTCAGTATCTTCTCAATTTTGAGTTATTTGACGTTACTGTAAATTGCTTAAATTGTAAATAAAACTAGGTTAACGGGAGAATTAGGGCAAAAGGCTTCAGGAACACACTTATATGATGGGTGCGGACATATCCAGCTGTAAATCTCAAAATCGAAAATTTCCTATGTCCCGGCCTTGCACACGGCTGATTCAGTGAGTCAGAAATCGTGTTTTAATCTCTCCGACTCTACTGTTATTGTAGTTAGATTGTATTGCTATTGTAGTTCAACTTTATAGGGTGTTTATTTCAGTGAGTTCCAAGCTCTTACCGTGGATGTGATCTGCGAATGCTCTTTTGGCTTTGCATTGAATTCGGTGGAAAATCGAAAGCATCCATTCTTCTTGGCTTGTGTGAAATTATTCAGCGAATTTTCGCTGGAAAAATCGTGGGGAATGTACTTGTCAAGTGAGTCTTACATATTTTTTTTCAAATCTTACAAAAATAAGCATTATTTTTGCTTATGTTTGTAAAAACAATCTCGATCAGCCCCCAAAAATTGTGATGATTTCCGTTTTAGTGGTGTTCCCTACTCTCAGCTCATACACATTCAGTTTCTCAAAGCTGGGCAAATGCGCTTACCGATTGTGTGCGTATTTGGAGAGCCTGATAAAGCAACGGATGAAGAACCGGAATGTCGAAAGCTCCGACTTAATCGAGACTTTCTTGAATGAGAATGATCGATTGGCCAAGGAGAAGGTAAGCGATGAAATTTTCTTGCCATAAATCGATAGTAAACATCCTTTATTAAAGTTCTTAGCTATCAACTGACCATTAATTAACCCAAAAGTCCTGAGGTTTAATTATGGATCTCTTTTTTGTCATTTCCTTATAATTCTAATCTTCCAGCGTCCCCAATTCCATCTCGATACGATAGTCAGCAACTGTTTCGCCCTTCTGTTGGCCGGCTACGACACCACCAGTAATTCGATGACATACGCCGTAAATCTGATTGGCCAATATCCAGAAGTCGCACAGCGGCTGAACGATGAGATTCAGGAGCTATTCGGAGACTCCGACCCATCTTATGACGCCCTGATGAAGGCCCCATATTTGGACGCCTTCTTCCGAGAGACCCTCCGGTTCTACCCGCCAATCACTTTCTTCGCCAATCGAGTAGCGACTGAAGATGTGAAATTGGAGAGTATTGATGTGACCATCCCTAAGGGCGCAACAATCGTAGCACCCGTGCATTTGGTCTGTGGACAGGAAGGCATCTGGGAAAATCCTGATGAATTTAATCCTGAGAGGTAAGGCAATCTTCGATAATCGGTTTCAAAGGCTGACATACGGTGGGGCACCTGATCCAGTGGCAAAACCGTGCCATTTTGCATCCGGAAAGTATCAAAAATGTGGAAAAATGCTTCCCTCAAGTGAAAAAACTCCGATTTCAAAAGAGCGCGCGCCCTTTTTGTGATGGAATGGGCGCGCCCTTCAAAACGAAGTTTTTTCGCTTGGAAAATGAAGCATTTTGCCACATTTCTGATACTTCCCGGATACAAAATGGTACGTTTTTTGCCACTGGATCAGGTCCCCCGCTATAGGGTTTCGTTGCTTTTGAAGAAATTTTTAATCATCAAAACCCCAAAAACGGCAGCTTTAGAGCCTTTTCTTGCAAATTCTAAAATTTTCTTCAAATTCAAACAATATGCTTTTTACATCTCTTTTAAATAGGACTATTGCCTTGCAAAAATCCCCACTTACAGTGGCGGACCTGGTCCAGTGGCAAGAAACGTACCATTTTGCATCCGGGAAGTATCGGAAAATGTAGCAAAATACCTCCAAGTGAAAAAAACTCCGATTTCAAAAACGCGCCCGATCTTTTTGTGAGGGAAAGGGCGCGCCCTTCAAAACGAAGTTTCTTCGCTTGAAGGGGGAGGCATTTTGCCACATTTTTTGATACTTCCCGGATGCAAAATGGTACGTTTTTGGCCATTAGATCAGGTCCGCCGTTATAAGTCATATTTCTAATCCTTAACTTCTCAGGTTCCTCAACCGTTCCACCTCCGCTCCGACCACCGAATGGATGGCGTTCGGCTGTGGTCCCCGGAATTGCGTTGGGTTTCTGTTCGCCGAAGTGGAGTTCAAAATAACGGTAGTCGAAATCCTCAAGCACTTCCACATCTCCAAAACTTCGCCAATGAATTTGGAGATCGTCTCGGTTCTGCTTCGACCGTCCGATCCCGTGAAAGTTAGTCTGGCCAAACGTTAAGATCTGATCTGCCGCAATTTTAAAAGAGTTGCAGCAACGCTGTAAATTTTTAGTCTAACTGTATAATAATATGATAGAAATTATTCTTGGGTCTGGTCACACACTGTGCAATGTTTAACTTGTAAAAACGATAATCCGGTTGCATGTCTATATATTATAATAATAACTATATAACTGTTCGATAAATTATTCTTGTTTGAAACTATCCTTATTTGTGTAATAAAGCATTGACTTTTAATGGCCTTTTTCAAAGTATTCTGCAGTGGGGCACCTGATTCAGTGGCCAAAAACGTGCCATTTGCCGGGAAGTATCAAAAATGTGGCAAAATGCTTCCCTCTCCAAGTGAAAAAAATCCGATTTTAAAAGCGCGCTCGCTCTTTTTGGTAAAGGATCCCTTCAAAACGGAGTTTTTTCACCTGGAGAGGGAAGCATTTTGCCACGTTTTTGATGCTTCCCGAATGCAAAATGGTACATTTTTTGCCACTGGATCAGGTCCCTTACTGTAGTCAGCACTCGGTCGCACCAAGAAACGCATCGAGGGAAAATGAATTGAGTCGTGGCAAAATCAAATTGATTTTCAATTCGGCAACGCAAAGCGACATTGCGATCACCATTTTTACGAAAAAAAATCTAATCTATGCTTTCTGAAACTGCCGGCAAGACACTTTTATTATATCGTCAAGATTCTCGGCCACATTACACAAACTGTGATCGCTTGCTCTTTGTCTAGACGATCAGCCGTTTCCTGATATTTTTAGCCTTTTGCAGACAATTTCCTTCCTGGACATCCAAAGATGACGCATTGATCCTGTTAAAACGCCGGAAGGGAATTTGTAGATGTACGAAATTTGCAAAGGTCTGTCATTACGCAATCATAGCACCTTGCCCAGACATCAATCAAATATGCATTCGCAGAGTTTTGGAATTTTTTTTTGTTCTTTTATGATAGGCAGGTGAGACAAAAATTTCAAAAAAATATGTGCCTGTCTCGCCGTTAAAACTTATTTTTACCTTCCCACAAAATCCAACATGATTCACAAAGTACGCTGCACTTCACTTGGAGAGGGACGTATTTTGCCACACCTTTGATGCTTCCCGGATGCAAAATGGTACGTTTTTTGCCACTGGATCAGGTCCCCACTGTAAAATATACCCGTAGAGGAAGAATGGGATGACATAATAAACCATCACAATTGGGAGAAGAAAAGGGCTTTACGGTGACCCAAACAGAAATTTTAGAACTTTATTTCAACCTATAAAAAATTTTTACAAAGCCAAGAGTCATACTTCTAAAACCTATTAATAATACAGGGTGGGCCACTCGAAACTGACAAGTTGTTTCTTTGAATTTCTCCGCGGAGACTCCGCCGATTTTTCGAAAATTTAGATTTTTCTGGAACTGAGACCCGCCATTTTCAATCGAATGAATTTCAAAAAAATATATTTTGAATTGACCTTTCCATGCCTTCTCAAAGTTTTGAAAAATTATTTGCAGGCCGAAACCGCTAAAACTTAGAAAATTTTTGGAATGATTTTGAAAACGGTCATTTTTCCGAGTTCTTGGGTGAAGTTTTCTTTGTTTTGCCTCAGATAGTTATCAAATATTGTTCCGAAAATAATTTTATTTAACAATCTGATTATTAATGCTTCTCTCTGAGTTGTTATGCCCACCTCCTCTAACATCACAAACTTGCAGTGCCTTTGAGAGTCATGCGCAGCTAGAATTGCGTATCGTGGATATGGTTTTTAAAGTTAAAACTTTAATCAGGCCGGGTTCTGAGCTTCTAGATGCCCCAGGCCTGACCCGATAACCATTGACGTCGAATTTTTCAATCTTTTTGAAATCTTTTTTTTGAATGTTCGTGCATTAATGGTAATACAAACAACCCTCTTGTGGCTTTCAACTTGCTTTAAACAAGTTTAAGGCGAGCACTATCAACTTTTTACTCCGCGATTTCCCCAAAAAAACCAAAAATTTTCCAAGTCCGAGAAAGGCAATTGAAAATCATTCCAAAAATTTTCTAAGTTTTAGCGGTTTCGGCCTGAAAATAATTTTTCAAAACTTTGAGAAGGCATGGAAAGGTCAATTTACAATATGTTTTTTGAAATTCAGTCGGTTGAAAATGGCGGGTCTCAGCTCCAGAAAAATCTGAATTTTAGAAAAATCGGCGGAGTCTCCGCGGAGAAATTCAAAGAAACAACTTGTCAGCTTCGAGTGGCCCACCCTGTATTATTATTAATATTTTTAAAGCCTGCTAGCTGAAAAGGACCGACATTTTTCGCGACCATCGTCGGATGAAATGCTCCTCATTTATTGGTTGAGTTTTTGTGACCGACGATCCATGCTCTCTACCATAAGGCATCGAGAGTTTGAAGAGCGCGCGCAGCTCCGCTCTCAGCGCTTTTGATGGTAACAATAGCGAAGCCACTGTAACCAGCATGCTAAAGTCGTAGATGCATGGAAGCAGGATTCCCAGGACATATGCAGCGTTTGTGGCTTGATCGACATCAACAGTTATTGTGACGAATTGCTGAATTTTTGGAGTTTAAAATTCGGCTTACCAGGAAAGTAGCCTAAGTGCGACGCTCCGATTTTCTTTAAATTTTGGGTACACGTCGGGCATAAACTCGATAACAATTCCCGAAAGTTTTAGCTTGTGCTTTTCAGGCATCGCCGAGATATTGAACGATTTTTGCCGCCGAGAGAGTACGCTAAAAAAGCGGACAGAGGGGAAAACACTTTTTGGCCATAACTTTGCCCATTCCATGCGGAAAAAATTGATTTTTTGTGGAAACATTACCCTTTGTGGTAGGTAGACATGGCTAGTGGGCCGGGCCGGCCCGGCCCGGCCCGGCCCAGCCCCCCGGGGGGCCGGGCTGGGCCGGGCCGAACGAGTTTTAAAGGCCCCGGGGCCGGGCCGACCTCTTCCGGCCCCCGGGCCGGGCCGACCGGGGGCCCCCGCCAGGCCCCCAATCGGCCCCCAATGACTAAAATTCACAGTTTCAAAGCGAAAATTAGGGTTGCCAATAAAAATAAAACGCAGAGCCAAGAACCGATTGGGTTTTTTGAAGTACTTTAGGAAATGGTTGGTAATTTTTTGTTTCAAAAATTTATTGTCGATTGTTATAACAAAAAAATGGGGACTAGGGTAGTATAATACAATCCGCCAGCCCAGTTCAGCCCCCCTGGACCCAGTATAAACTCCCTCATCCAATCTGAAGCGCCTACTCGGGATTGGCTTCTCTCGGCTACGATCATCGTTGCCTGAACCACAAAAACGAATTTGGACGGTAACTGGGGCTTTGAACTAAAACGCCTGGGGTCATTTTACTCTAATTTGCATTTTTTGTATAATTCTAATTTTTTAATTACGGGGGTGTGAAATGGACAAAACAGTGGGGGTTTTAACTACCTTTCGTAGGGAGCTGAACTACCAAAGCCCCAAAAAAGTGTGTTATATCTCGCAATGAATGCAGTATTTATATTTACAGTTCGGCCCCCTGTCGGCCCCGGCCCGGCCCGGCCCCCTGGGGGCCGGGGCCGGGCCGGGCCGAGAAAATTTGAAGGGGGCCGGGGCCGGGCCGACCCCTTCCGGCCCCCGGGCCGGGCCGCAATTTTAGGCCCGGCCCGGCCCCCCAGCCATGTCTAGTGGTAGGAATAGCCATGAAACTTTTCGTGCCAAAATTCGACAAAAAGGTGTCAAATTTTCGCCCACTTTCGATCTAAAAATGTCGGTTGTTTCTGCAAAACGCAAGCTTGGATTCTCGCATGTATTTTAAGAAAAGTCATTTTGAATTTGTGCCTATTTTCATCAAAATCTGAGCGTCGCAATTGGGTTGCTTCCCCTGTTACAAGGGGCTTACTGCATTGATTCCAAGAGATAGATGCGAAAGAAATGTCATGGTGGAACAAATTGTGAAGCGAATCTCTCGACGCCACTGTTTGGTGCTCTTGAGCGACCGTTTCCGAAGGTACAGTAGGAACAGAGCGGTTGTGTTCAAAGATCCAGCAAGAACAGGGAGAATAACATAAGCGACCTTGTCAACACTGCCGACTGATAGCTGGAAGAAAAAAAAGTTTAACACGGCACTCATTTCGAACCGCATTGAGCAGTCTTCTGTTCAAATTTATTCAGGGTTTTTCTTCACTTACACCCAAGAATCCAACCGAGTGGTCATAGTTCACAAAGCAGGCAGTTATCTCGTTCTTCTCCTTTCCACACAAAAGCACCGCTCTGTTCAACAAAATGTACCCGTAAAGAAGACATGGAATCGCGTAGATGATTGTCGTTGTCGGAATCAAAAATTGTTCCCATAGCTGATTATGTCTTGTTGGAAAAAGAAACGAAGTAACTCGATTCCAGGCCAAAACGGCCGTTCCAAAATAAGCTACCAGCTCCAGGGATACTCGAAGAAAGAGAAAGAAAATTGGGTACCACGTGACGCCGTTCTCAATACCCGAAAAGATACGATCATAGAGGAATGTACAAAGTGGCCCGCGAAGGATAAATTGGGCGTTCAGGTATTCGAGGAGGTCCTGCAACAAATTATGCCTGATTTTATTACTCACAATAAGCATTTGGGTACCTGTTTCTGAACCTACATTGAATCCGAAAATCACAATGATTCGATAAAACTGTGAGTGAAATATCTTCCTCTTGGAGATCAAGACATACAAAATGAGAGAATACACAAGGAACAACGGGATTCCATAACTGTAGAAGACAATAAAGGCCCATAACGGGAGCATTGACAGCAAATTAACCAAATTTTCAGCACAAGTCGCGCCGGTGTTATCATACATAACTTATTTTACTTTTTTAGGGACTATTGAACTTTAAATGAGTTTGTTGAAAAAAGTAAGTATTCCTAGCATTATCGTATATTCCACCGCATGTTTTATATGTGTGGGCTTTAACGTATATGCTGAACATGTACTGCAGTTTAAGAAAATGTTGAGGTGAAAGGAAATGGTGAAATGACCCAATGACTGCCTTTAAAAAAAAGTATTTGAAACAGCAGGCCTGATGGCAAAATTGGAAAACGTATCGATTGTATATCAAATCTGTTGAAAACTTTATTATTGCATTCCCTGCTTCAACTCCTCTCCTGCAAGAAAGAAGACATTCTGCTGGACATTCTTCTGATGAACGGGATTCCATTGACATGCTGAACCTTCGTCACCGATGATGTGTACTCTCTGCTTGTTGCTGATGTTTTCCTGAAGATTTCCACGATTTCCGCCCTTAATGCTCTTGAAGGCAACAGCAAAGAAGCGACGGTAACCAGCATTGTGAAATCGTAAATCAGCGGCATTAAAAGGCCGAGCATGTACGAAGACAAAGTGGCGTCTTCTAAGTTCATCGTTGCCGTGTAGAAGTTCTAAATTAGGATATAAATAATCGTTATATTTCGCTCGACTTGCCACAGCAATCCCGCAGCCAAGATGGTCGATGAACAGGACCGTGGAGAAGATTGTGAAGCGGATCTCTCGCCGCCATTGTCGGTTGTTTGTGAGTGGTCTTTTCCGAGCGAAAAGCAAGGCCAGAGCGAGGGCATTGAAGGCGCCGGCGACGACGGGAAGAAGAATGTAGAGGATTCTGACTATTTTGCTGATTGATAGCTGAAATTAAACGGCGGAGGTGAAAAAGATGCAGAAGGAACGCGTTATCCTTATTGTCAGCCTGTCGGGAAAATAGTTGCGGCCTTAGAATCGTCCAACATGGCGTTGCGTATCACTTCAAACTGAGGAGTCCGATGACCGGAAAAGACTCTTCGCTATCGGTTTTTTACACTTCGTCTTGATTTGACAGAGAAGTCAGAAAAAAGGCGCGCAAAAGCGCGCCTTCTTCTCTCGCCCCAAAACTCCCCATTTCTTCCCCGACAAAAAGATTTTTTGCGTCTTTCTTGGCGAATCGCCAATCCATTCACCGGACCGTGAATGGATTTAGCTTACCCCAGCTTGACGTGCGTCGGCTAGCAGCAGCTAGAAATTTAGAGCGCTATTTTTTCGACGAGGTGAAACGTTTTGCTGCGACAACGCGCCACTATTTTTTCCGGCAGGCTGATAGAAAGTTTAGTAAATTTTTGATTTCTTTGCAGATCCAAACACTCGTAAGATGTCTTTAAGGAATTTTAAACCCTGCGCTTTCGAGCGTTTCTCCTGGCAGGGTACAATGAAGCAATTTGGAAACGAATCTCTGCTTACCCCAAGATAAGTGAAGGTATGGTCATAGTTTACGAAGCACGCCACAATCTCATCGTCTTTGTATCCACACAGCAGCACCGCCTTGTTGAACAAGACAAAGCCGTACAGAAAACACGGGCAAGTATAACACGTTACAATGAGTGGAATCGAAAATGTTCTCCAGAATCGCTCATGATGTAGGGGCAGGAGAATTGATGTAGCCCGACTAAAAGCCATTAGAATTGATCCAAACAGGGCTACGAGTTCAAGCGATACGCGCAAGAAGAGAAAGAAAACAGGATACCAGGTAACCCCGTCTTCAATCTTTGAAAACACATGGTTGTACCAGAACGTGCTGACGGGCCCGCGGAGGAAGAATTGAGCGTCCGCGTACTGAATGAGGTCCTGAAAATAAAGAAATATGCGAATTGACCCTTTAGTCATGATCAAATTAAATAAATCTTGCCAGCAATACAGTAACCTATAGCGCCAACTGACTTACATTAATCCCAAAAATTATAATCAGTCTGTAAAACTGCGAATGGAAAACTTTCCGTTTCTTGACCAAAACGAATATTATTAGACAGTATATAGTTGCCAGCGGTATTCCATAACTGTAAAATAAAACAAAAGCCCAGAACGGGAGCATTTATTATACTAATTTGCAGACTGCGTATAGGGTGTCCACAATACGCCAAGAAGCAGGTGTTTTTTTAAGCAGATTACGGCATATTCGGTGTTCTACGAAATAAATGAACTTTGAAGGAAACATTTGCTTATGAATCGTATAAAGTTTAACTGTATTTCGCAACTTTTTAATATTCTGCTAGCCAGAAATCTTTTAAGAATTTGCAAAACCTGTATATGTAAATGGAAGGCTTCAGTTTTGGTAACATTTTCGGTATGGAAAATAATCAAAGCAACCAGAGCTCTGCCCGAATGTAAGGTTGAATTGAGCGTTGATATGAAATACTCTGCCCTAAGACTTGGAAAATGCAAGTCTTATTACAGAGACGTAAGTTGAACAGGCACCTTTTTTGCAATTCACTCCAAAGAACTTACATCATCTGTGAAAATAACGGCTGATTAATAGCAAAGTGTACGCTTTTAGACGTAAAGCGGTGCATAATATTTTGAATGACCTATGTGCAGGGTTGTGTAAAGCTTAAAATTGCGATCATTCAAACTGTGAGATCCAATGACTGCCTTTTAAAAAAAATGCTTGGAAAACATATCGATTGTGTATCAAATGTGTTGAAAACTTTATTATTGCATTTCCTGCCTTAACTTATGCCCTGCAAGAAACAAGACATTCTCCTGGAGATTCTTCTGATGAAGGGGATTTCATTGATATGCTTGACCTTCGTGACTGATGATGAGCTTTTTTCTGCGCCTTTTGGCGATGTTCTCTTGAAGAGTTCCACGATTTCCCTCCTTAATGCTCTTGAAGGCAACAGCAAAGAAGCTACTGCAACCATAATTGTAAAATCGTAAACAAGCGGCATTAAAAGTCCGAGCATGTACGATGACGCAGTGGTGTCTCCGAGATTCATCGTTGCCGTGTATAAATTCTAAATTAAGATTTGAAATGTTCGTTGTATCTCTCTTGACTTGCCACAGCAATCCCGCAGCCAAGATGGTCGATGAACAGGACCGTGGAGAAGATTGTGAAGCGGATCTCTCGCTGCCATTGTCGGTTCTCTTTGAGCGGCTTTTTTCGGGTGAAGAGCAAAGTTAGAGCCAGAGCGTTGAGGGCACCGGCAACTACAGGAAGAAGGACGTAGAGGATTCTGACTACTTTACGGATTGTTAGCTGAAAGAAAACGGCCAAGGTATGAAAGATGCAGAAGGGACGGATTATGCTTACAAAAGAAGGCCTTCAAGTGCGACGCTTAGATTTTTATTCAACTTTGCACACACCTGAGTCATAGGCCAAGTATCAATTGCTGAAAGTTTCAGCTCGCGCTTTTCAGGGACAGCCGAGATATTCAACGTGTGCAGAGAGAGTACGCAGAACGCCGAGAGCGGTCAGAAAGAAAAACACTTTTTGAAGATATATTTGCCAGTTTTGAGCGGAAAAAAATATTTTCAGTGGAACCATTACCCTCTACTGTACATTGAAAACGGTATGAAAGTTTTTAAGCCAAAATCCCTGGATTTGTGCTTTCACAAAAATCTGAGCGTCGCACGTCAAACTGAGGAGTCTGGTAACCGAAATAGACTCTCCGCTATCGGTTTTTTGCACTTCGTCTTGATTTCACAGAGAAGTCAGAGAAAAGACGCGCAAAAACGTACTCTCTCGTCCTAAAAATTCCCCATTTCTTCTCCGACTAAAGGTTTTTTCGCGTCTCTGTCGGCGAATTGCTAATCCGTTCACCGGACCGGTTTATCTTATCTCAGTTTGACGTGCGTCGCACTTGGAGCACTTCCCCTGTCTGAAGAAACTGCGCTCACCCCAAAATAGGTGAAGGTATGGTCATAGTTCACGAAGCATGCGACAATCTCGCCGTCTTTGGTCCCACACACCATCACTGCCTTGTTGAACAAAACAAAGCCGTACAAAACACACGGACAAGCATAACACATTGCAACAAGTGGAAACAAAAATTTCTTCCACAATCGCTCATGATTTAAGGGCAAGAGAATGGATGTGACTCGGTTAAAGGCCATCAGAATTGATCCAAACAGAGCTACGAGTTCAAGCGATACGCGCAAGAAAAGAAAGAACACCGGATACCAGGTAACACCGTTTTCAATCTTTGAAAACACATGGTTGTACCAGAACGGGCTGACGGGTCCGCGGAGGAAGAACTGACCGTCAGCGTACTGAATGAGGTCCTAAAAATAAAGAAATACGCGAATGATCCAGCCCTTAGTCATGCTTAGACTTGGCTCTCGGGCCGGCCCGGGCCGGCCCGAAAATTGAGTAAAAGTAAAAAACCTTAATTCGCTATTAGATGTGACATATTTTTCTTTACTATAACAACTAACAGTATATTTTTAAAGCAAAAAATTACTTGCCAACGCATTGCCTTTTTAAAATTAATCAAAAAATTCCCGAGATCCGTTTTAAGACTGTTAAAAATTGCCCCAAGATCAATTTTACAGATTCAGCAAAGGTGGAACCACGTTTAACAAGGTTTTCAACTTCAAGATGATAGTGTTGCTTCACACGACTTCTTAATTGTGTTTTTAAGGATGTCGGTTACATTTATTTTGAGTTTTTGTTCAAAAAATTACTAAAAGCACTAATATCCATTAGTACTTAATAGAGTTTACTAGTAAAACTACTTATTAGTAGCCATTTTTGAGTACTTCCGTGCTTTATTTTTATAAAATTATGCTTACTGTATGAAAAATATAGACCCCATTCTTGGCTTTGCGTTTTAATTTTATTGGCAACCCAACTTTTCGCTTTGAAACTCAGAATTTTAATTTTGCCGGGCCGGCCCGGCCCGCGGGCCGGAACAGGTCGGCCCGGCCCGTTTCAATTTTGCTTTGGCCCGGCCCGGCCCGAACACCGGCCCGGGCCGGCCCAGCCCGGCAGCCAAGTCTAGTCATGCTCAAATTAAATAAATCTTGTCAGCAATAGCGCCAACTGACTTACATTTATCCCAAAAATTATAATCAGTTTGTAAAATTGTGAATGGAAAACTTTCCGTTTCTTAATCAAAACGAATATTATTAGAGAATATATAGTGACTAGCGGTAATTCGTAACCATAAAACACAATAAAGGCCCAGAACGGGAACATTTACTCAATTTGCAGACGACTTACGGGGTGTCCAACCGAAACAGGTGTTTCTATTTTGAAAGAAATTACGGCATATTCGACATTCTACGAAATAAACGAACTTTAAGGTGACCATGTGCTCACGAATAGGACGATGTAAGTTAGAAAGGCATTTTAAAGGTTACGCTGTATTTCGCAACGTTTAATGGCTGAAATTTTTTATCGCAAAAGGCCTGCAAATGAAATAATTCAGCCTTTGTCAAAGTTATATGTATTATTTATATGTAATTTTATGCACTTAAACTTACCAAAGGCGAAAAATTGAAAAGCCTTTTTTCGCAATGCAATCTAAAAACTTACGTCAGCTGTAAAAATAATGATTAATTGATAGAATATATAGAACTGCAAGCTTTTCTATTGTTAATCAAAACGCCCGGCGTTGCAAAATATTATGAATGACCAATAATCGCTTTGCTTAGTATGTCTCTGGAGCCGCTCAAAAAAAATTAGGAGCAAAAACTTTTGAAATTTTACCGCAGGAATTGGCGCGCTCACCCGACACACTCCTGCAACCGTGTGTTTGAAACTTTTGCAGGTAGAGTAAAAATTCTACGGTAAATACGTTCCCTTAACATAGTACTTTCATGCCATATACACCTTCTTTTTACAAACTGTTTAATAGCAGGGAAAATTGAGGAAAAAATTAATGTCCACTTTTTTTGGCTCACCATGTATATAAAAAACATAAATTTTAAATGTCTGGAAAGCCTGGTCAGAATAAATTTTCTTTTGGTGTTTTAATTATTATAAAAATTATTAAAATAAATTAGTTTATTTGCCTACTAGATGTCACAGTAAACAGCATATCGTTCTGTGTGGTTGCTCGTTTCCAAAGAATTCCGATGACACCGGCGACCTCTCTTCTCAAACTTTTTGATGGTATTAAAAGCGAGCATACTGAAATGAACATGGTTACGTCGTATATGATTGGAATCCCGATGCCGAGGCCGTACGCAAATCGCGTCGCTTCATCCACATCCATCTTGACCATAACCAAATTCTGGAAAGGAGTACATATTTGGGAGGTCTACATTTCTACACTTCTTACGGTTTGAATTCCATAATTAAGATGGGCCAGGAATATGGCGACGGAGCATATTGTAAAGTTGATCTCTCTACTCCACTCTTTACTTGTTTTTAGTGATTTTTTGCGAAGATACAGTAGACAAACTGCTGTTATGTTCATGGCTCCAGTAATCAATGGAATGACGACCAAGAGTACCCTGTTGACCTTGTTGACCGACAGCTGGAAGATACATTGACGGACCCGATCCAGTGTCAAAAAAACGTACCATTTCGCATTCGGGAAGCATCAGAAATGTCGCAAAATGCTTCCCTCTCCAAGTGAAAAAACATTGTTTTGAAGGGCGCTTTTGAAATCGAAGTTTTTTCACTTGGCGAGGGAAGCATTTTGCCACATTTTTGATACTTCCCGGATGCAAAATGGTACGTTTTTGCCACTGGATCAGTTCCCCCACTGTATTGCCTATATAATATACAATATGCAATGTCTACAGCAAACTGTAGGTTAAAATTTTAACAACAAAATTACCTACCCCAAAATAAGTGAACGAGTGATCGTAATTCACGAAACAAGCAGTCACTTCGCCACTTTTCCCTTTCCCACACAGTAGCACCGCTTTGTTGAACAGAATGTACCCGTAAGCGGCGAACGGAAGTAAATAGCAGACCAAGATAACTGGATTCAAGTACGTTTTCCATAAATAATTGTGCTGGAATGGAAGTAGAAGGGAAGTGAGCCGATTCAGAGCCATCAGGGTTGTTCCCAAGAAAGAGAGGAGTTCGGCGGAGACGCGAAGGAAAAGGAAGACAACCGGGTACCATGTTACGCCGTCCTCTATTTTCGAAAAGACAAGACTGTAAAAAAGCGAAGAAAGCGGTGCTCTAAGAATGAATTGGGCGTTGATGTAGGAGAGTAGGTCCTAAAACTGGAATAATCTTTAACAAACCCCTCTTCTTGCGGAACTGGGACGATTCGGGAAAATTATGATTAAGGAAGCTGAAAAGCATTATTTTTCTTTGATGCAAGTGTCGAAATTAGGATAATCCATGGTGCTGATTTCGAAAATAAAATTCATTTTTTTGATCCTTACTTTTTTCTTTGGTTAGTAATTATTCAGTACTACCTAATACTATATATAGTACGGGGTGATAATAATAATGGTACTAGGCACCATAACAGCATTGCTAACACATAAAGGCCACATTTTCACCTCGTACTAGATACATATATGTAGTATGTATATACTATTTAATATTACTATGGGAAAAATTAACATGATTTACGAAATCAGCAATGTCAACCCCCAAAATCGAGTATTTATAAAAAAAATTCAAATAATTACTACTTTACAGTACTACTCAAGGAAAAAGTAACTATTTATCAAAAAACGAACGTCATATTCAAAATCCGCACCCTCGATGATCCTAATTTCGACATTTACATCGAAGAAAAATAATACTTTTCGGTTTCCCCAATCATCTTTTTCCACAATCGCCCAACTCCGCTTTTTGAAGCTGCCATTAAAACAACTTACATTAATAGCAAAAATAATAATCAATCGATAGAATGCCGAATTGTAGGCTTTACGATTGTTGATCAAAACGCACAGTGTTACAATATATATCGCTACCAAGGGCACTCCGTAGCTGTAGTACAGGATGAACACCCATGCAGGCAGCATTAACAATCCATAAGCATTTGGGCGCAGTGAAAGAAACACAGGTGATTTTTGAATGACCTATTCGACGTTACTGTATTTTGTACTTGTACGCATGTGCTCAATGTTGGTGACATTTTAAAACTTTTGTGGGCCTCAGAATAAACTGTGTTTTTGGTGTTTAAAATGGGTTCAAGTGCTCTTGAGATTGTAACTTTTAGTGGGTGTTGCGGTAAGCTCTTGCGTTTCTGATCTCCAACAGAATGCCTTGAATTTATTGTCCAATATTATATGTACAGACAAGGTTATTATTATTAATACATATTAATATTATTATTATTAATCTCCATTTGATGATCATTTATTGTTCGACGTCATCGATTGTGTGGATGGTGGTTGGACCCGAAGAATGGACAGGAATAGTTTATGCTGCAACTTTCTGACAATGACCGCAAGTTTGTGGACAATAAGCCTTCATGACGAAGAAGAACGACACCTTCCGACAGTAGTCCTTGAATCCAGGACAATCCAGGAAATGGTCGTGACAATCGGGGGCTAAAATACGAAAGTTTATAAAGCGAAATGGCGAGGATTTTGTTTGTAACAGTATTAGTAAAGCAAGTGGTAAGGAATACATGTTATTTGCTGTGAGGATGAGGGTAGAGAAAGCACTTGTTTTTCTCGTTTCATGTATTTCTTACCACCTTCGGTTGTCCCCTTCTTACTCCCTTTAAGTTTACTGGCAAACGCGGTCGTCGTCAATGCCGTTGGACTCTTTGTGGCCGCTGAATCCTTGGCCACAGAGGTTCCAATTCGTCCGACCATTGGCAGTGGAGGCGGCAGCGTAACCTTTGCTTTACTTCGCGATCGTGAAAATACCGATTTTTTCGCACTACTCGTTTTCGGCGCGCATTGATAGAGTTTGTTCAGCTTGACGATATCCAGTTCGCTGAGGTCTTTTGCGGCACCAATGACGGAGGTGAAGCCGTCTTCAACGGTCTCGATGGTGTTCTTGCCATTCCTGGAGAACGCCGCCGAATCATAATGCATAATGGAGCGGTAGTCATAGCGGACTCCTTGTGTGTCCTGCAAAAGATATTTTGGCGTTAAATGTCCGAGAGGAAATGTTCAAATTTTGCTGCAGCTTGGCAAAATTTACACACAGTGAGGGACCTGATCCATGGCAAAAAACGTGACACTTTGAATCTAGGAAGTAACAAAAATGTGGCAAAATGCTTCCCTCTCCAAGCGAAAAAGCTTTGTTTTGAAGAGCGCGCCCTTTTTCCTCACAAATAGAGCGGGCGCGCTTTTGAAATCTGTGTTTTTTCACTTGGAAAGGGAGACATTTTGCCACATTTTTGATGCTTCCTGGATCCAAAATGGTACGTTTTTTGCCACTGGATCAGGTCCCCCCTGTACGACATTTCTAAGGCCTGGGCATTTTTTTGAGGGCTGCGATTTGTCGAAACTCTTCGTATCTTACCTGCAACGCCGGTGAAATAATATCGAACTGGCTCTCCATTCCATTCAAGATATTCTCCCATCGTATCTTCACAAAATCATCGCGATCCGCCCTACTATGCTCATGCCACGCCCCAAGCGAATGCATCAATTCGTGGAGGACGATCTCGTGATACAGACAGCCTCGGCCCAACGAGATCTCTTGCTTTCCACCGGTCTTTCCAACTTGCGAGTAACACCTTAAAATGATGACAATCAGATGTGGCCGGTTTGAGGTCAAAAGGCAAAAACTCAAATTACCCAAGTCCTTTCACAATGTGCAAGTAGTCCTTTTCGCCATTGTGGGGCCGAAATCTGATGCAGGTTCGCTTCCGGTATGTTCGAAACGCCTTCTCCAACAGCTTGACCTCACTTTGAGCTGAAAAACACTGTTGTAATGGGGACTTTTGACGGTCGTACAGCAAAGAATAGTTCGAGAACTTACTTACTGAATGCTTCGTCCAGAACGTAGGGGACAATTCCGTTGGTCCAGATCAATTGCTTGTTTCGAAGTGCGTTCATTTGGACAGGAGCTGTATTCTAAACAGAGTAGTTTTAAAATAAGATCTAGACAGATCCAGCTTGGTATCAGTCTGTCGGGTAAATAATAAGCACTATTGTGTCGCATCAAAAATCGCATCGTTGTCGAGAAAATACAGGGTCTTTCAAGAAATGTGAAGGAAAGTCGGAGGCTATAACTTCCGATGGAGGCGGCGCAGAGACTTCGTTTTTTTTGGAAAATGTATTTTTAAGCGACATTGTTTTTTGTCTGTGAAATAACAAGATTTTAAAGTGCAAACTGAGGTCGCTATGACATTTTGAAGTAGGGCCCTCCAACTTTAATTCAAGTTTCCTGAAAGACCGTGTAAATCGCGCCGCGGAAAAATCAAATTGCTTTTCACCTCAGCGACACGCAACGACATTGCGCTTATTATTTTGCCGACAAGCGTTTCCTCAAGATACTTACCAGCTTCTTAAGGAGGTGTGGATCCACCCCATCGATATCTCCTTGGAATTTACCTGAAAAAGGGTAAGTATTGTCGGCAGAGCAGCATTGAAACCCTGGGGCCTTTTTCGCCAACGGAAAATAAATAAAATAAACGATCGAGAAATGAGCTTGCTGTAAAACGTCTTTTTATACAGTGAAGGCCCGATCCAGTGGTAATACCATTTTGCATCCGGGAAGCATCAAAAATGTGGCTAATGCTTCCCTCTCCAAGTGAAAAAACACCGATTTGAAGCTCGCGGCTCTTCCCTCACTAAAAGAGCGGGCGCGCTTTTGAAATCGGAGTTTTTTTCACTTGGAGAGGGAGGCATTTTGCCACAATTTTTGTTACTTCCCGGATGCAAAATGGTACCTTTTTGCCGCTGGATCAGGTCCCCCACTGTAGAGGTTTCAATTTTCGAAGCGACTTTTTGCAAAATCGCAAAAAAGTACAACAAAATTTTGGCACTGCAACAAAGCCACACTTCTATCTGCTCTAGGAAAACGTTTCATTTTTTTCACCTGTTTCTAATATTTTTATCGCTAAACAGCGGCCTTCTTAACATTGAAAGGAAGAGGGAATGACACAAAATGACTGACCCGACCGAATCCACATTGGCTCCTTGACTTCGTCCTGTAAAATCTCCGTGGCCAAGGGATCGTCTAAGTCCAAGTCATCCAAATCCTCATCATCCGCCAGTTTTCTGTCCTCTGTATCGACAAATCTGCTCTCCTCAAGCAACGCTCGATGACTCAGCGCCGCAGGGAGCTCATGAAACACGGAGCTCAATTGTGAGTTGGTAAAGTCGATTAGGAAAAGGAGTGTGGACAGCAGTAGCGACCGATTACCACATTTCCTTCTTGTCCCCAGTTTCATAATAGAAAAAGAAAACCCTCGGGGATTGGGGTGGTTATCTTGGGATTCGAAGTTAGGACGTCCGAGATTGAGGGCTGAGCCAGGCGGACGCCAGCTTGATACGGATTTTCTCAACCCTGGAAGTGGGTAATTTGAGGGTCAAAGTCGATGTGATTGAGAAAAGCGATGCCAAATTGAGAAAAAGCGAGGCCCGAAACCGGTCCCTAACGAACAGTCTAGATTTCTCAAGAGTTAAATTTTGATCACGTAGTCATCAAGAAGTGATGGCAATACGTTCTCAAGGGCCACAGAAGCAGAAGTAAAACAAAAAAATTTGTATATTTTTCAAAATGATAACCGATTACACTCCGTTTTGAACGTATGCCCAAACGTTTGGCCACCCCTACGAAACTGATTATTATAATATGTAGATTTGACAGAGCATATCAAAGAGCCTATTATCGCATAAAATCAGCCTTTAAAAACATCCTTGTTCGGTTTGACAAACATTTTACAGGGTCCTTCAAGAAACGTGAAGGAAAATCCCAAATTTCTCCATAATTTTCAACCGAAAAAGCACTGATTTTCGGGGTAAAAGTAGCCTACTTCAAAAGGACGCAGCTGCGCGCAGCGCCCTCAGTTTGCACTTTAAAGTCTTGTTATTTCATAGGCAAAAATTAATGTAACTTAAAAATACAAATTCCAAAAACGAACTCTCTGCGCCGCCTCCGCCGGAAGTTATAGCCTCCGACTTTCCTTCACGTTTTGTGAAAGACCCTGTAATATTTCTAGCCATTCTTTATCTCCCTAATCGTAAGCAGCGAAAGGCCAAACCATGTGGAGAGAAATGAGAGACAAGAATTGTTCAAGAATAAGTGGACAGACTAAAAATACCCTGGAAGCTTGAGAGGAGCCCTCGAACATGATCAGGCGCTGTTAAACTATACAATCGTTTTTGTGGGTTTTTAAGCAAAAGTTGTCTTTTAGAACAAATTTTTTTTTAAATTAACAAAAATCTCGAGTTTTCAGAGATTTTGAAGTGAATTTGAGAAACTAAAATTACTGTATTTAATCTACAGTAGCCTCAGAATAATGAGACTTTATCCATAGAGATCAACTCCATAGAACATGGCGAGCAAACCCCCTCCGGTTATCAGAAATGGACAGGAGTAATTTTTGCAAAACAGTGCGAAAAACCCTCGAGGGAATTGGGAAATTAATTCGGCCCGACGATTTGTTTTAGCGATCGAAACGCGCGAAAAAAGAGAGACCGGGAAGGGAAATCCGACTAGTCGGAGGCCGCCCAACCGGTTTCAGATGGTCTCCACGTTGAGGCCGATTGAGGAGGAAAAGACAAAAAAAACCGACGACAAAATAGGATACGGTGGTCATTTTAGGGCGGAGGATGAGCAATTTTAGCCGGAAAAAAGGCATCTAGTGTAAAAAATCAAGATGACATCATCCGTTAATATTAATTTTATTTATAAAAAAATAAATAAAATATTAAAAATGACTTTTTCAAATCAAAAAATCGAAAATCCCCAATTCTTTTTAATTTTTTATCTCTCCCACTCAATTCCAAGCCAATTCCCTTTCTCTTTCGGGCCCGCAGCGAATGTGCCGACCATAGCTCAGTTGGTAGAGCGGAGGACTGTAGTTCAGCGGAAATCCTTAGGTCGCTGGTTCGAATCCGGCTGGTCGGAATTCTCTTTTTCGACCTTTTATCGACTCAAAAATTATATTTTCGGTAATATGAGAGTAAACGTAATTATGTATACCTAGAAGAACAACTTCTCTTCAGGGGATCACTTTGAAAAAAAAAGTTTTTACCGACTTCCGATGGGTTATTTGTCCGAATCTTCCGCTGATCAAAACGGAAGTGGAAAAATAAAAAAGTCTTGGAGTGAGCATTACCTCTGTAAATACAGTCCCCGTCCATTCGCGTCGTATGCGACGGAAAAAGTGCAGGAAGTCAAGGAAAAAAGAACTTTACGGAAGTTGAGAGGCTAAATTTAAAAAATATAGTCCTAAAAAATCAAGTATTTACTTCTAAAACTACAGTAACCCACCAAAAAAAAAAACTCTTCCAAACCATACTTCTTCAAATTTTCTTTATCATTTATTTAGTACAGGAAGCCAATAATTGTTGCAAAAAGTTGAAAAAAAAACAAAAAATGGAACAAAAACAAGGTGTTTTTGGGATGAGGAAAGCTGAGATATCCGGATGAAAAAAAAGCGGGTTTCAGACCAACAAAAACTTAGAGCAGCGGAGATTTCAATGGATAACAATGTTCGTGGCTCATTGTAACATCAAATTAAATAAACCACGCCCAATGTTCTGAATAACAACCAGATCTGCGGACCTTATTCCTCTCCGGGGCGTTGTTTCAGGCTGGTCATTCCGGCTCTCATGACTTCATCCACTTGGAGCAAGTTTGAAGCAATGTTATAAGCGGCCAAAAGGGAGCATTTCTTGACGCAGACATTGTCCCAGACCCCCTGGAAATCCAATATTACTTATCTTCCATAAAAAATTCTCAACCAAAAAATAAATAAATTTTTTTAAAAATTTTCCTTACATTGACCAGTTCAACATCTCCAGTCTCCAAATTCAAACCCAGAGCTCCTTCGTCTCCCAGAGCCTTCTGATCTTCCAATAATGTGACCAGCTTCTCTTGAGAGTCAAATCCAGAGTTCAGAGCCAAGGTCTTCGGAATAACAAGAAGAGAATGGGCATAGGCGAGGACTCCAAGTTTGGCGCGGCCTTTGGTCTTCTCAGCAAGGGCCAAAAGATGATTATGCGCGGCGGCTTCAAAGGACCCGGCACCAGCAACAAGGGATTCTAAAAAAAATCCATGTTATCCATGACATTTCGATTGATATTAACCATGAAATGTCATCATCCCTAAATACGAAAAACAAAAAAATTAAAATAGACTCACGATCTTTCAAGGCGTTCGAAACGGCCCTGAGGCCATCATAAATGGCGTCCTTAATCTGAACAATGGTGTGTCTGTTGGGTCCTTTGATCAAGATGGTTACACTTTTGGGGTCCTTGCATTCCTCAACAAACGTGTACTTATCTTCTCCTAGGACGTGCTCATAGACAAGTCCGGCCCATCCCAGCTGGTCTACCGAGATATCATCAACCGAGTTCAAAGCTTCGCCACCACAAGCCAGCTGAAGACGCTCCATATTGCGGCGCTTGGCACGGCGGAGCGCCAAAATTCCATTGGAAGCCAACAAATCGAGAGATGGAGGGTCGATTCCCTAAAACAACAAAAAAATAGATCCTGACAAGGACATTTTCCTACCTTTTGGTTGATCACCACAAAGCCCGGAGTCTTGCCGTCCTTCTCAACGCACACCTTCTTCTTCAATTCAACAATTTTCTGCACTCTTTTAGTGATAAATTCGCGCTCAGCGGACAACAGACGTTCTCTCTCGGCCGCACTCTTGTAGAACAGGCCAGAATTCACCTCACTAAAAAACAAAATTTTAAAAAATCAACATCAACCTACGTCTTCTCAAATTCTAATGAGACATTGCAGGTCAAGATGTAGGCATTTTCGACATGTTTGGGCATGTCTGGATGACGTCCTCCATGATCAAGGACCAAACCTCGGATAAATTGAGTGTCCATGTCAGACTCATGCTCCATTTGCTGGAGTTCAACCATGTGGAGATCGGGCTCGTTGTCCTTCTCATTTTTTCGGATACAAAGAGCCTAAAATTTTGACATAAAAAACACAAAAATCATTACCGCATCAACAACACATTCGGTAATGTGATCGGCCAATTTGGTGTGCAACTTTGTCCTCAACGCAGTTCTGGCGACCTCAATCAACAATGCTCGGTCGATCGGCTTTTGCGTCTTGAACTTCTCCAAAAACTCAAGACAGGCCCTGTGGGCCACACCAAAACCTTCGGTCAAGAGACGTGGATGTACGCCCTCTTCGATGTATCCCTGCGCTTGTTTCAGCATTTCACCAATGAGGAGAACAGTCGAGGTGGTTCCATCCCCGGTCGAATCATTCTGCGCGGTGCAAGCCTTGGCAATCATTGAGGCTGTTGGATGCTGGATCTGCATTTCGTGCAGAAGGACATTACCGTCTTTCGTCAATTTCAGCTCGCCACCACCAGAAACCAACCTAAAAGTGAAAAGTTTAGGTTCATCCTGCAATCTCAATTATTTTAAACATTGTACTTGGTTCACACAAAAAGCCTGCTAAGAATTAAACCAAAAACGCAATAGAGGGGCTTCAATCCTAATTAACAACTTCCATATTCCCCAATCTGTATTCTCATCATAAAACTCCACCCTAAACATCAAAGAAACACCAATTAAAGATCAACTTACATTTTGAGGGTTCCTTTAGGCCCCAAATTGGTTCTCATGACCTCCTGAAGACCCCTGGCACCGCTGATGTTCATCTCCAAGGCCGCAGCATTTCTGGCCAGTTCGGCTTTTGGATTCAGGACAGAAATTGACGCCATGTTACCTAAAATACATCGAGGATCAATTTCAATACCTAAACATCTAAAACAATGTAAACGAACAAATGAAACAGCAATTGTCCACTTTATTCCTGGACATTCTTGGTCTTCGGCAATCTTCTCGAAGAGAACCTATCCGATTTTGCGTGGCGTAATGTTCTCGCGTTCATAGTTTTCGCTCTAGGACGGAAAACGGAAGACTTGGCGCGATTTCGAGATGTGTCAACTCTTTTTATTCCAGAATTTTTGTCAAAGTCGGAATAGATTTTGCAGAAACCTCCAAAATCTCCATCATGAACGACCTCAAGGCCCTAATCATGGCTAAAAAACGGGCGCTAGCCGAAGTGGTCACTGATATTGTAAGTTTTTCGCTTCTCTTTGGTTTTATTTTTTTAGAATGGCACAAAAGCCTTGAAAATGTCGGATGTCCTGAAGAAAAAGGAAGAGGAACGAAAAGAAACCGAATCTAAACGTCAGAAGTTAGAGAACGTTGAAAATCAGGTTGGTTTTGTGCATTTTCATCCTTTCTCTTATGAACAATGTAAAAATTTTTCGATCCCTTCAAAAACGATGTTTCTAGAGTACCAGCAAGTTTCCAGCAGAGATCAATTTGGATGACGATGCTGAAATTCCACGGGCAGACGTTATACGAAGGCTACGAGCTCGAGGAGAGCCGATTTTACTGTTTGCCGAGACATTCCGCGAAGCCCAAAAAAGGTTAAGAAAATTGGAAATTGAGCAACCAGAGTTGAAAGAAGGCTGGAAGAACGAGTTTCAAGCAGCTTTGGACAAAGTTAATGAAGAGTTAGTTCATGAAGTCATCAAGGGAACAGCCAATAAACCACAGAAGGGTCAGCATGATGTAAATATGCCCGATTCACAGGCAGAAAGTTGGGATCAGATATCGGTAAGTGTGTTTGTTATTATTTTTTTGGTATTTAGGAGTTGTTGGACGTCAAGATTTGCATCGTACTTAGTCTTAGCAATGTTATGCATTGTTTTGGATTCATACTTCCATTTTAGAGTATGGCCACGCTTCTCGACCGGGATAACGATTCAAATCGAGACTGTGACATTATTCACTCCTTCTTGGTCCATATTCTGAAGAAGTGGGGAAACGAACTAAACGATCGAGACGAAGAAGTCAAACGATCTCCAGTTGGAAAGCTCGAATCGGGAACTCACATCCAAACAATGACTAATCTGCGGCCTCTAATGGGTCAATTGAAGGCGCATCAATGTCCAAATGACATTCGAGGACATTTATGCAAGATTATAAGGCTCTGTGTACTTGATCGGGACTTTGTTCAGGTAGTGCAATATATTAGGTTGAACGGAAAGTTTTGGCACTTTTAGGTGTAACGTTCTTCAAAAAAGTGATAACAAAATTTTGTTTTTTGTATTCGATAGAGAATTTTGTTGCGGTTATTTTGATATATAACTTTATATGATTCCATCTAGTATGAGCTTGTCACGTGCTGATATTCGAAAGCTGCTCAAATATGAGTTTTTGCAAGGAGGCAATGCGTCAATGGCCGTAGAACGCATCAATAAAGCCCACGGACCGGAAAGCGTTAGCCGGAGGACAGCATTTAGATGGTTCTCCAATTTCAAGTCAAAAAAGATGGGGACCGATGAGAAGAAACGAAGTGGCAGGCCGAAAACCGTCGATCGGACGGGTGTCGTCAACGCTATCCTGATTTTCGATCAGCGAAGTTGATGTTGTGCGTGTGGTGGGACCGACGCGGGCCAATCCACTGGGAATTGATGCCAAAAGGTCAAACAATCACGGCCCAAGTGTATTGTGAGCAATTGGAGCGGGTTCGACGCAAACTGTGCAATCGCCGAATTCCTGTCAAAACCCCACGCGGCTCGTTTGACGCGCGATAAGTTGGCAGAAATGGGCTGGGAGGTGCTGCCACATCCCCCATACAGTCCGGACATCTCGCCCACCGATTTCCACTGGTTTCGGGACCTGGAGCATTGGATTCGTGGCAAAAAATTTGAGAATCGCGAAGAAGTCAACGAATTTTTCGCTTCAAAGCCTCGTGCTTGGTACGCCCGTGGAATCAACCTGTTCGAAGAACGCTGGGAAAAAGTAAACAATTCTGGCGGAGAATACTTCGAATAACTTATTTTTCATTTTAGTTGTTATCGATTTGTTGTTGTCGTTAAAATAAAAGTTTTTGAAAAAGTGCCAAAACTTTCCGTTCAACCTAATAATATTTGATAATTTTATGTTAGAATTAATCTCTAACGTCTCAACGTTTCAGGCAAACAATGCGTACATGGAGATGGCAATAGGAAACGCCCCATGGCCAATGGGTGTGACCCGTTCCGGTATCCATCAACGTCCCGGCTCAGCCAAAGCCTATGTTTCGAATGTTGCCCATGTCCTGAACGATGAAACTCAGCGAAAATACATTCATGGAGTAAAGAGAATCATCACGAAATGTCAGGATTACTATGCCACAGATCCCTCCAAATGTGTGGAATACGTGAAAAAATCAAAAGATTAGAGGTCATGTTGTATATAATAAAAGATTGTGATCCTTGCACCCACACAATTTGTGAACGTCAGCAACTTGAAGTGCGCACTTGTAATTTCCGTTTCTCAATCTTTCAACAACCCCGCGCATTCAGAGGCCAAAGACGAAAAACGTGATGTTTGTTTGGATTTTGGATAAAAGTTTTGAGAAAAGTACATACAGTGGGGGTCCAGTGGAAAAAAACGTATCATTTTGCATCCGGGAAGTATCACAAATGTGGCAAAATGTCTCCCTTTCAAAGTGAAAAAACTCCGATTTCAAAACTCTCACAAAAAGAGTGGGCGCGCTTTTGAAATCGGAGTTTTTTCACTTGGAGAGTGAGGTATTTTGCCACATTTTTGATGCTTCCCGGATGCAAAATGGTACGTTTTTTGCCACTGGATCCGTTCCCCCACTGTAGTATCACAAGAGTAAAAAACATATTTTTGGGTCAATGGTGAAATCAAAAAGTCATGTTGGTCTTAAATATTGTAAATTTGATCGAGTTTTCAACTGACAAGGGAAGTACCCCAAATGCGACGCTCAGATTTTCTTTAAATTTTGCACACACGTCGGGCATGGACTAAATATTAATTCCTGAAAGTTTTAGCTCGCGCTTTGCGGGCGCCGCCGAGATATCGGACGATTTTTGCCGCCGAGAGAGCACGCTAAACGTGGAGAGCGGTCAGAGAGAAAAGCGCTTTTTGGCCATAACTTTGGCAGTTTCGTGCGGAAAATTTTGATTTTTTGTAGAAACATTATCCTTTACGGTTGAAATAGGCATGAAACTTTTCGAGCCGAAGTCCGGCAAAAAATGTCAAATTTTCGCCAACTTTCGATCTAAAAATCTCGGTTGTTTCTGCAAAGCGCGAGCTAGGATTCTTGCATGTGTCTTAGAAAAAAACATTCTAAATTTGTGCCAAGTTTGGTCAAAATCTGAGCGTCGCACTTGGGGTACTTCCCCTGTGAATTAAATATAATAAAAAATCTAGTTTTTGTCAAACATAATGTTGACAATAAGTACAATAGAAAAGTGTGCAAAATATCGAAAACCCGGACTGACTTTGTTTGAATTTGAGTAGTAAGTCAACGAACGCCTGTGTCAATTGGGAAAAACAAACATTGATTGGCCTACTTGACTTGAAAGTCCCTCGGGGAACACCCAACCGCTTATAACGTCAATCGTGCACGTTGGAGGGAGGCTAGACAAGTCCTACTTAAGATTATTTGGAGCGCCTAACAAAATGAGGAGTGCTATCCTATGTCTGTGTCTTTTAACTTTTACTATTGCCTTATACGATCATGGGCCGGCTGAACGATACTGGGATTTGTTGAAGGGATTGCGTCCGGATAAAGTGGAAGAGGTCAAGGAGATTGTCTACGACCCGGATCTAACCAAAAGACAGACCCTGGAGAAGATGAATGAGTGGGCCACGAAACAAAGTCACGAAATTCAAGTGAGTGCAAGCTACAGTAACCCTTAAGGCCCAAAGTTTTTGTGCATGAAAAATGGAAGGGTTTAAAACCCCAATTTTGAGTATTGAACTACTGTTTTATTTATAATACCGACACGACCAAAAAACACTAGAGAAAATTTGAGAGAGCCCAACCATACGGTGACGGACCCGATCCAGTGGCAAAAAAAGTACCATTCTGCATCCGGGAGGCATAAAAAATGTGGCAAAATGTTTCCCTCTCCAAGCGAAAAAACTTCGTTTTGAAGGGCGTTTGAAATCGTAGTTTTTTCACTTGGAGAGGGAAGCATTTTGCCACATTTTTTGATACTTCCCGGATGCAAAACGGTACGGTTTTAGCAACTGGATCAGGTCCCCCACTGTAGCTCACAAGGGAATGGTCCCAACGATCCGTGGGATCCACAAATGAAACCTAGATATTCTGAAAGAGCAGGTAAAATTTAGTAGGAATCCGTTTTTTCTACTTGCCGAATAAGTCTGTGCGACGAGAAATATCGTCGAAAAGATCCGACCAAAAAATCGAAAGAGAGAAAAGACGAACCGAAAGGCCTTCGAAGGCGTCACCAAATAGTCTAGTGGAAAAAGTTCCACGCATGAATCTTTTGGCGGAGGGAGGCTTTGGAGGTTCGAGTCCACCCGGAGCGGATATCTCCGGCTTGAACCTACGTGTTCATTACTGTATTCTACAGTTACATAAAAAAATTTTTTTTGTTTATTGACCTGTTTTGCAAGGTTTGTTGCAAAGTTTTAAGAAAATTTGACATTTCGGCAATATCTTTGATAAGCCCGATGTCGACATAGTGGTATTTTCAAGACACTTCTACTCGATTCTGGAAGGTTGTATAGGGTCTTGCAGATCTTTTTCGGTTTCCCAAAAAGGATGTTGCCAAAATCTCACCTTTTCATAAAATTTTGCAAGAAAAGTTGAAAAGAGAATTTTTGGGTCCTTGCATCAGCGTGTAGTAGACCCCGTGAATATTTACAAAAAAATCTATTTTGAGTTTTTTCGTTTAAAATGGCCGAGGACATGTGTTTAACAAATGCCCAAATTATTTTTGTCAAATTCTGCCCGGAAGGTATAAATTTGCATGAATTTGTCTTCTTTGGAACTTCGGACCTGGCGGCATCATAAAAAGAGGTAATGACCAGTGATTGCCACGCCTTCGGATGCAAAAAACCTTGTAAAACAGGTTAAACAAAAAAAATTTTTTTTTTGTATAACTGTAGAATACAGTAATGAACACGTAGGTTCAAATCCGGAGATGTCCGGCTCCGGGTGGACTCGAACCTCGAAGGCCTCCCTCCCCCAAAACATTTGTGCGTGGAACTTTTTCCACTAGACTATTTGGTGACGCCTTCCAAGGCCTTTCGGTTCGTCTTTTCTCTCTTTCGATTTTTTGGTCGGATCTTTTCGACGATATTTCTCGTCGCACAGACTTATTCGGCAAGTAGAAAAAACGGATTCCTACTAAATTTTACCTGCTCTTTCAGAATATCCAGGTTTTATTTGCGGACCCCACGGATCGTTGGGACCATTCCCTTGTCAGTTGGTAGAGCGGACTGTGGTTCAGCGGAAGTCGCTTTGGTCGCTGGTTCGAGTCCGGCTGATTGGAATTCCTTTTTTTCCGCAAAACCTTCTAGATTTACTCTACGTTTCTACGGCTCTAGCAGCCCTTGACGTACAGTGACGGACCTGATCCAGTGCCAAAAAAACGTACCATTTTGCATCCGGGAAGTATCAAAAATGTAGCAAAATGCCTCCCTCTCCAAGTGAAAAATTTCCGTGTTGAAGGGCTCCCTCACGAAAAGAGTGGGCGCGCTTTTGAAATTGGAGTTTTTCCACTTGGAGAGGGAGGTATTTTGCTTCATTTTTGATACTTCGCGGATGCAAAATGGTATGTTTTTTGCCAATGGACCAGGTCCGACACTGTACGTGAAGCACTGCTAGAACCGTAGAGAGTAGAGTAAATCTAGAAGGTTAAGCGGTTACTTGCCAAAAAAAAAGGAATTCCAAACAACCGGAACCAGCGGCCTAACAAGGGAATGGTTTGAACTGTCCGTGAGCTTTCAACATGACACCTCCAAATTCTGAAAGAGCGTACAAAATTTAGTAGGAATCCGCTTTCCATTTTTGCCGAATGGTCTTGGGAGACGAGAAATATCGACAGAAAGATCCGACAAAAAAATCGAGAGAGAGAAAAGACGAACCGAAAGGCCCAGAGAAGCGTCACCAAATAGTCTAGTGGAAAAAGTTCCACGCACGAAACTTTTGGCAGAGGGAGGCCTTGGAGGTTCGAGTCCACCCGGAGCGGATATCGTCGGCATGGATCTACGGTTCGTTAGTGTATTCGACCGCTATGTAAAGGTTCTTTTTTTCATTTGTTCGAGTGTTTTACAGATTTTTTTCGAAATTTCAAGAAGAGTTGACAACTTGGCTGCATTTTCGATGATGCCAGATTCGACATACTGGTGTTTTCAAGACATTTATACTCGGTTCTGAAAGGTTGTATAGGGCTTGCGGATTTTTTTGAGTTTCCAGAGAAAAATCTTGCCAAATTTTCACCTTTCCTTAAAGCTTTGCAAGAAAAGTTGAAAAGAAAATTTTTGAGTCCCTGCGTCAGCGTGTGGTCCAACAAGGGATATTTATCAAAAAAATCGATTTTGAGTTTTTTAGTTTAAAATGACCGTGGACATGTGTTTAACAAACGACCAAAATATTTTTCCCAAATTCCGCCTTGAAGGTATAAATTTTCACAAATTTGTCATTTTTGGAATTTTGTGTCTGACGGCATCATAGAAAGGAATAATCAGCCAAAATTTTGCGTGTGAGCCAGCAGCCGACACAGCGACTTTGGAGCCCGATCTGAGCCCCGCCATGGAAACATTGGAACCTTGGCATTCCGCCGCAATGGGGAGAAAGAGGATTGGAACGTGAAAAGGAGATCGGTCGTGAGAGTTGGTTGGAATGTGAGGAGGATAGAAGGAAGGAACGGAGGAATCCGAGCGCGCGTTTGGCCGTCAGAGTTCCGTGTGGATCAGATACATATTACCCTTTGATATTGGCTTATATTGGCTTTGATTGTGATTGGGAATTGCGTGGATAAATAGTATTGGCATTTATTCGTGTGGGTTATTTGTGTGGAGTATATTGGGAGTTTGTCCCATAATTATCTAGGGGAATTGCCCGTGGAATCGTTTGGAGGAGCAGCGCGTTTCGATCTCAATTGGCGACCACTTACGGCGGCCACTCTTCGTTCGTGTACCGATCGTGTTTTTTATTTCCCAAGGAAGAGCAGTAATTCCGAAGGAAATCAGATTTGAGCTAAAAGCAGAAACGGCCAAATCTGAGTCAGATCCCCTCCAGCAGTAAGGTTGGGATTTGACCTGGTTTTTCGCAACAAGCAGGTGCGAAATTCCAGAATTCAGAACCTCGATAGCAGAAAGAGGAAATCTGAAAGAAACAGTGTTTGTGTCTGAGCAGTAAAGACAGAACAGCTGTAGATCTGAAGCAGGAAACAGATCTAACGTGGTAAAGCAGATAATACCCGTTTTTGGAGCGAATTTCCGCAAGAATTTGGAAAATTTCGACTCCTGGCCAAGTATAATATAATTGATACTTTCGCGGCCATACACTCACGAATATTCCTGATTGTTTAGTGAAGTGAGACTATTTATAGCGAGAATAAGCTATTACGACCCTTTGTTTGGAAAATTTTGACGAGAAATTGAGAAAATTGCGATTTTTAGATATTGTTTTAGGTGAACGTGACGATTTTTGACGCAATATACGTCTTTGAGAGGCTTGAACTACTTGGAAATTGTATTGGAAAGCTGCGTTTGGTTGATTCGCTAGCTGTGTGGTTATTTCTGTGTCGTTTGGACCTATTTTATCGTTGTTGATCTAGAATTTTGATCTTGTTTCGTGAGCTTTGAAATTTTGTTGAAATCCGAAGAATTTTTTGGTTGTAATTGATTATAATTTGTTGTGAAAGAACAGAGAACTCGTGTGAATTGTGTTACTGAAGTTTGATTGCAGGAGAACCGTGAAATTTGGCCAATCTATCAAGCGTAATATCGAAAAAGCGACCTAATATAATATCGAGAACTACAGGAGATAAGGATAAGTTGTTGGAAAATTTGTTGTTCCACGTTTAGAAAAGAGAATGCAGGTGAATAAGAGCGAAAGTGGTGTGACCGACCTTGATTTAGAGAATTTGGTACCTAAAATGCAGAAAAATCTTCGAGAATTGTCGAATCTTTCGCTAAAATTGCCCTCTATTCCTTCCTTGCCTCACCAAAATTATCCAGATTGTGATTCGCGCGTAGAGAAGACCGAATTCTATCGAGAAAGCATCAAGAAAGCATTATCAGACACACACATCATGAATACATTAACATTTGAACAAATTTATCTCTTGAGAAACGGGCGAATGTGTTATATCACTGGTGAAGAGAAAGAAGAGTTTATATACGACATTCTATACAACATTTTCGTTGTCACAGAAGAGTTAGACCTTGAATACCGTTGCAAAGTGTTGGAGAAACGACTTCGAGGAAGAATCTTGGACTTCTATCAAGCTCTGACCAAGAATACGGATTATTTCGGAGACATTATGGATCCACTCATGGAAGAATTCGGGTACGAGAAAGACGTTGCAGTAAATTACTTCTCAACATTTCCTCATTATGACCAAATCTTGATTCGAGACTCTCTACCATCTCAAGACGAGGCCTATAAAGCATTCCAACTTCAGAAACATCAGCCATCGGACATCAAAAAACTTGATTTACATTGTAATTTCTGTGGAAAACCGAATCATCTCGAAAAGAGTTGCTTCAAGAAGAAACGAGAATGTGTTTTATCTTCAAGAGTCCTTCCAGAATCTCAAGAACAGTGTCAAAGTGATCTTTCTCAGTCTGATTTGAACAACTCATCACCTATTGTTCATGATAAACACCCAGATTTAACATGCAGCAGTGATCCAAAAGAAATTATTGATCCGACAGATGCTTACGACGAAAACTTTGACGAACTTTTACAATGCTATCGGCAACTAATGGAAAGATATAAAAGAAATACTGAGGTAAGAAAGATCGTGAAGATAGACAATGAGAAGTTTACGGCCACTAATGAGCCATGTCAAAGTAAGAAACCTTGTGAATCCGATAGCAACATCGAAGAGAAAGGTGAAGATCATTCAGGATTTGAAAATGGAGATTTCGAAGAGTTGTTTTACAAACCAGAAGCACCATTATCGCACACAAAAGCCAATTACCAGACGGATTATACCTCAGAACTGTCAAAAAGCGTATTCATGAGCTGGAACAAAGAGAAGTATGATGACAGTATTGATTTTATGGAAATTTTGGATGATTCTCTCTACGCTGAATGGTTAAAAGATGACCCTACAAGAAAGAAATGTTCGGAACTTGATGCAAATCTCCCGAAAGTTGAGAGTGATTGTGCGAATTTAACAGAGTCATGTGTTTTCCAGTTGATGTCAAGTCTTACTCTTGGTCAGAATAAGCAAATTTCGGAAAATTACGAAGACTACAATCGCTTTTCTAGCTCGTTTCTACCCGCCAAAGGATGTAAATTTAAATTTGCTCAAGAAACTCAATGTTTGAATGGTGCATTGAACCAACAAACCTCGGCCGGATTAGCAAATTACTCGCGAATCGAAGGGAAAGGATGCAAGTTTAAGGAGATATTCGAAAATTTTGGTCACGAAAACTTCTCAAACCGCAAAATTATGAATTCTAGTGATCTGGAAAGGAATGAAAAGACTAAAAACTCAAACTCTGAGACAGATATCACGTCACCTTACCAGAAAATCAAAGGAAAGGGTACAAAATTCAAGACCTATATGGCAAAATGTATTGTAAATTGCTATTTTATTGTGGAAATACCGTATTCTATTGTAATTTGGTGTATTATCTTGAGGGTATTTCTGTTTTTGATTCAAAAATTCTCTATTTATTTATTACGCTCCGGTAAAAAGTCAACTCAGATTACATGTTGGTCTGTTTCAGGAATGCGAAAAAGCTTTCTGAAAACGCCGGGACGTCGTTTAGTTATTGAGGGGGGAGCCAGGGGTATTTAGGATAATTTAGGGACTTCATTTGATTTTAACTTTTATTTCGTTTCAGATTTCGTCGTGTTTTGTTTATGTTTGTTTTGTGCCAGCTCAATATGCCATTATCTACCCGATCCCGTCAATCCAAGCCCATCAATGTAACATCCCAACAGCCGGCCAACCATATCCGAAGCGTCAGAACTGTCCCCGAGAAGTGCACCAGCAGAAACCAACCCCATTTGAAGCATCGAACCACCAGAAGCACTGACATGACGTCGGGACGCCGCCAAGGTATGGAAGGGGCGTGTGAGCCAGCAGCCGACACAGCGACTTTGGAGCCCGATCTGAGCCCCGCCATGGAAACATTGGAACCTTGGCATTCCGCCGCAATGGGGAGAAAGAGGATTGGAACGTGAAAAGGAGATCGGTCGTGAGAGTTGGTTGGAATGTGAGGAGGATAGAAGGAAGGAACGGAGGAATCCGAGCGCGCGTTTGGCCGTCAGAGTTCCGTGTGGATCAGATACATATTACCCTTTGATATTGGCTTATATTGGCTTTGATTGTGATTGGGAATTGCGTGGATAAATAGTATTGGCATTTATTCGTGTGGGTTATTTGTGTGGAGTATATTGGGAGTTTGTCCCATAATTATCTAGGGGAATTGCCCGTGGAATCGTTTGGAGGAGCAGCGCGTTTCGATCTCAATCAATAATCTATAATAAGTATATTTATATATATATAATAAGGCATCATAGAAAGGAATAATCAGCCAAAATTTTGCGTATGTACCTTTATGGCCATTGCGTACTCAATTTTTTGGAAGTTGACTTTCACAGATTACTGTGACGTAAGCATATTGTAACCCGGTCGATAAAAAAACGACCGCAACTCTTCTCCAAAGGCCATTCGGCCGATAGAAAAAGCATAATTTTGCAAACAGATCTGTGAAACACTCGAATAAATAAAAAAAGAATCTTTACATAGCGGTCGAATACACTAACGACACGTAGATCCATGCCGACGATATCCGCTCCGGGTGGACTCGAACCTCCAAGGCCTCCCTCTGCCAAAAGTTTCGTGCGTGGAACTTTTTCCACTAGACTATTTGGTGACGCTTCTCTGGGCCTTTCGGTTCGTCTTTTCTCTCTCTCGATTTTTTTGTCGGATCTTTCTGTCGATATTTCTCGTCTCCCAAGACCATTCGGCAAAAATGGAAAGCGGATTCCTACTAAATTTTGTACGCTCTTTCAGAATTTGGAGGTCTCATGTTAAAAGCTCACGGACAGTTGAAACCATTCCCTTGTAAGAAATTCCGCTGAACTACAGTCCTCCGCTCTACCAACTGAGCTATGGTTGGGCTCTCTAAATTTTCTGAGAGTTGTATATCAATTTCTCGACAAATTTTACAGCGTTTACCTCGATCACAAAAGCGCAAACCTACAAATAAAAAAAACCTTTTGCATTTCTCTAGACATTCAAACAGTACCCTAAGCAGCTAGCTGACTATGTTTGGCTCCCTGATTTTAACAAACCCATTTCAGCGGCTGTATAAGCAATCATTGGATCAATTTGAGAAACGGGACCAAGAAAGAAACGAAAAACTCGATGCCAAAGCCGAAACTCTGTCAGTTGCTGGGCGAGAATTGGAATCCGAGATCAGAGTGAGTTGCTCTACCATAAACTAACAATAAGCTCTATCATAAACTAGTAAAGTATATCGAGTAATTCCCGTATTTGGTTTTCTAATTTCCACTTTTTTCAGGCCATCTATGACAATTTGGACCTAACCGACAAACAGACGTGCGAAGCCGTAGCCGAAGCCGTCTTTATGAGTGCTACTGTGCTGCAGAAGGAACTAGGAATCAGCCCACCGCCATGCGAAGATGTTTTCAAAAATCTCCACAAACACTAACTTATCATCAATATATTCTTCACAAATCATGACATTTTACTCGGTGCGGGTTCCGGTTTACCTTTGCTTGAGTCGACAAACGTTATTTGAGATTATTTTTTAACCATTTTACTTATAATACAAACCCGCGAACGGGATATTTCAACTATCTTGCGATATTTTTTTACCTACCAATAAAGTCTTGAAAATAGTTGTAATCTAGTATATTGATTATTATTTAATCAAAAAAACCTTCCCGGCCCTCTGCGGAGTGTATCCCGGCGATTTCTATCAATAAGGAACCATCTGCAAAGCAAAAATAGCCATGCAGAATGTAAATTTATATGATACATAGTCGGAAGCTCCTGTACAAGAACACAGACTCGAATTTTACGTCAAATCGTCCGTAAAGGTCCTGCAAAAAACTCTCATTCCAACAGACACGAATATTCGACTCGAAATCGCACTTTATCCGTTCATTATTCGATCGAACAAAGCGAACAAAAATTCTCTCCGCGAGCCAAGTCTCTCCCCACGTGGGTCAACTCTCCCGCTTGAAATTATCCATTTTTTTCTCGGCGCCGAATAGCCCTGGTTTTCCAGTCGTCTGCACCGAGAATGGGCGACGGCCGAATTGTACTGATTGGGAACGAGACCGACATCCTACATTGCGGCTTTAATTTTGCATTAAGTCAGGGCGGGAAAAGGTATTTCTTATAATGCCCATTTTTCCTTTTCTTTTTGTTTTGATTCTGTCTATTGGTATTCTGAAAAACATAGATGGAAGGTCGAAAGATCCAATTTGTGTGGTTGCAGGTATCCCTCAGCAGATCATTATGCTCATGCGATGATTTTGAGCCAGCTGGGCCTGGATGAGGTCCATGTCCTCGAGCTTTTGGCCACTCCATCGGCCGAGGTTCCGAGAAAGGCCCGCGAATTGTTGCAAGAGAACATGCCGCAGGGCCATGACATGAATTCGCTGGCTCAATATCTGGTCAACTCGAGGAACAGCTTCACAATGAATGCCATGAGATTGAGAGCTGAACAAGATCAAAGTAAGTGGTTTTTTATTTTCTTCTTGGTTTTTAGGTAATGCAAAGTAAAGTCGAAGGCAAAATACGTTTGTCTGCAAGCTAAAGTTATTGATAAAACATGATTAAAGTCTGTTTTTTGCGAGATACCAAGGATTATATTAGTTTAGACATAAGATATAAGGTTCTAGCCGAATCTTGACGACATTTTTCGATTATTCGTCGTTAAATTGTTCTTCCACTTTTTTCACGGGTTGGTCTTGCTTTCAGACTTGGCGTTGGTGCTCTAAAGAGGTCTCCTTGAGTAAAAAGATGAATTTATCTTGTGTAGGTATCCAAAAAAAAAGTTTAGTCAAAACCAGATAACTTAAGGTTTTTGCTTTGAGATAGTTGCAGTGAAAGATAAATCAAGACTTTATGAACGTGTTATAAAGTTTGTGAGCCGTTTTAATTAGTCGAATATCCATTTTTCAGAGTTTGTACAAGCCCTGGTTGATACCGAAAATGGGCTGCTTGTCGTGTGTGATAGAAAAGATTCTGAATTGGGTATTGGAATGGAAGAAGAGGCGTTTGTGGATTTTATGAAACGCCATAGCGCCGGATTTGAGGTTGTGAGTCGTTGGATGGCGGATCCGAGCAATAAACCCCATGAGATTGGGAATAATCAACTTGGATTCTTCTTGATGTGGCTGAGGTTTGAAATAAAGTAAGAGGAGTTTAAACAACATTAATTTGGTTGAACAAATTCTGATTGTAAAATTTTTTTTTGATACGAAAATTTCGTTTATTTTACAATTGCATGTACTAGATATTTCTTCAAAAAATTTTTTGAATTTCAGAGCCAAACAAACAGCAAAGTGGACAACTTGCTCTGAGATTGAGGTGGATGGAATTAATGTGGATAATGACGGGGAAACGTTGCTGCAAATATCCGCATCCAACTTTGTGATAGCCTTGGAGGTAAGTAATGATGTAACTGGGACGATTGGGGAAACAGATACCCAAATGCTCAGTAGAATACAGGGTGGGCCACTCGAAACGGGTAAGTTTTTTCTTTGGATTTCTCCGCGGAGACTCCGCCGATTTTTCTAAAATTTAGATTTTTCTGGAGCTGAGACCCGCCATTTTTAACCGATTGAATTTCAAAAAAACATATTTTGAATTGACCTTTCTATGCCTCCCCAAAGTTTCGAAGAATTATTTTCGGGCCGAAAACTTTGAAAATTTTTGGAATGATTTCGAAAACTTGGTCATTTTTTTCGGGTTTTTGGGTGAAATTTTCTTAGTTTTATCTCATATAACTATAAAATAATGTTGTAAAAACAATTTATTTTAACGACCTGATTATTAATATTTCTATCTGAGTTCGAAATGCCCACTTCCTCTCGCAGCACAAACTTGTAGGAGCTTTGAGAGTCTTGAGAGTCGTGAACAGCTCGAATTGCAGATCGTGAACATCGTCTATCTTCAATCGGGCTGGGCTCCAAGCCTCAACGACTTGGAGCTGGGGCTCGTAGCCAATTGTGTGGACTTTTGCAATGTCGTTGAAAAATTGGGTTTTTTTGAAAGTTCGTACCCTAGCAGTAACGCAAACAACACTATTTTTGCTTTCAATTTTCCTTAAACAAGTTTAGAGAGAGCATACGAAACTTTTTACTTCCCGATTTTACCAAAAAAAAGCCAAAAATTTTCCAAGTCCGAGAAAGTCAATTGAAAATCATTCCAAAAATTTTCAAAGTTTTAGCGGTTTCGGCTCGAAAATAATTCTTCAAAACTTTGGGAAGGCATATAAAGGTCAATTCAAAATATATTTTTGTCAAATTCAACCGGTTAAAAATGGCGGGTCTCAGCTACAGAAAAATCTAAATTTCGGGAAAATCGGCGGAGTCTCCGCGGAGAAATTCAAAGAAAAAACTTACCCGTTTCGAGTGGCCCACTCTGTATTTTCTAGACAAGTGTAAAATATTGAGCAGTGGTTTTCGTGCTTTTGGGTTTCTCTTAAAATTTTTCTTAATTTGCAATCACTTTTTTACATCCGGAGTTGGAGGATTGGGGAAAAGTACGATTGGGGAAACCGAAAAGTATTATTTTTCTTCGATGCAAGTGAAAAATTAGGATAATCGTGGGTGCTGATTTCGAAAATGGCATTTCTTTTTTTGATAGTTTCTTTTTTCTTTAAGTAGTACTGTAATGTAGTCGTTTTAAATTTTTTTATGAATATTCTATGTAGGGGTTTTCGATGGTTCTGATTTCGAAAATCCTATTAATTTTTCCCATAGTACTAAATAGTACTATCTGATACTATGTAGTACGAGGTGAAATTTTGGCCTTTATGTGTTAAAGATGTTGTTCTGGTGCCTAGTACTATATCAGATAGTACTGTTTAGTACTATCGGAAAAGTTAACATGATTTTCGAAATCGGAACCATCGAAAACCTCTACATCGAGTATTCATAAAAAAACTTCAGAAAATTACTACTTTACAGTGCTACTTAAAGAAAAAAGTATTGTCCTAATTTCACACTTGCGTCGAAGAAAGATAATACTTTTCGGTCCCCCCAATCGTCCAACCCCGGTGATGGTAGTATATTTTTTTCCATTTTGCGGCTTCGTATTTTAAAAGGCGTTTTTCTTAATTTGTGGTAATTTTTGAAACAACTTGCAGGGAATTTTCCGTCCTCTGAGCAATTATCACGTGTCTCCATTAGAGCTGAAGGGGGAAACCTATCGGTCGGTGGAGCACTATGCATATCAACGACTCTTCGAAGCCCTGAAATTGGATGAACTTGAAATCATGAAACTTCGCACAACCGTGAAGCCCTCGGATCTTCCAATTGTGGCAAATCGAGTCGCGAAAAGACTTAAAGTAATATAAATTTTTGATTTTTTTTGGCGTTTTTGTTCGTGGCTTTAGGCAATTGATTTTTTTTTTTACTTTTTTAGGTGGATCCCGGTGAATTCGCCCATAAGAAACTAAAGATGGATCGTTGGCGGCAGTCCGCGATGAAACATAAGTTCAGCAAGAACAGCGATCTTCAACAGTTGCTTTTGAGTACTGGATTCGCGATTCTGATTGATTGCACTGGTGAGCTTATAATTTTTAGCGGAGTTGGACGATTGGGGAAAAAGAGGATTGGGGAAACCGAAAAGTGTTATTTTTCTTCGATGCAAATATGAAATTTGGATAATCTAGGGTGCTGATTTCGAAAATGACATTCATTTTTTTTTGATCTTTACTGTTTTCTTTAAGTAGTACTGTAATGTATTAATTTTTTGATTTTTTTCACAAATACTCGATTTAGGGGTTTCAATGGTGCTGATTTCGAAAATCTTATTCATTTTTTTTTTGATTTGAAAGCAGCAACGTCTAAAACCCCAAAATCGAGTATTATTAGTATTATTCATGAAAAAAATTCAAAAAATTACTTCATTACAGTACTACTTAAGGATAAAAGTAAGCTTCAAAAAAAATGAATGTCATTTTCCAGATCAGCACCCTCGATTATCCTAATTTCGACACTTGCATCGAAGAAAAATAACACTTTTTGGTTTCCCCAGTCGTCCCAGTCCCAATTTTGGAACAGTTTCTTGTCATGTGGACCAGAGATTACCGCGGCCAAAATTTTGGCTCGAATGTCAGGCACGTTGAGCTACACGCGCTCATTGTGCCTGACATTCAAAAAAATATTTTTCCAAAAATGAATGTTATTAGTGTCAGAGATGACACACCCAAAGTTTTTGACTCAAGTCGCATCCTTACCTGTATCCCAGTATTTTTCAAGCAAGCAAAATCACGAAAAATTTCACTTTTTTGAACACTGCGAAGCAATTTTTAGATAGTGTTTTTTTTTCAAAAATGTGATTTTTTTCAATTTTTTTGATGTTCTTAAATTGTTATTTGGTTTTTTTTTGTTTTCGGTGATGTAATTTTGATCCATTTCAGACACCGCAGAAAGCAAGTGGGTCTCGAATGTGGATGAGTTTGAGCTCCAACACCTCCTCACCAAATCCTACATCACTCCTCATGAAATCATCGACTACATGTGCGAACGCAAAGAACCCGCCAAATCCTTGGCTCATCTTCAAGGCAATCGCTCGGGAATTTTCCTGATGGAACTCCGCAGAAGGTTGGCCCAGCAGTCCGATGAAAGAATCCCCTTGGTATCTCCGATCATTGCAAATGCTGTAAAGACTGGAGTGTCCTCCCATATGATTTGTTTCACCCCCGAAAGTGTGTTGCATCCGCTGTATCCGGCCGAGATTTATGTGGACGCGGTTAGATATCGAAGTCCGATTCATTGGGTCGTTCAAAGAGCTGTGAAGTAAGTAAAAGATGCGAGTTGATCTATAAAAATTTTTGACAAGGAAGGTACTTTTATGGGTATGGAGTTACAGGTCGAGACATGTATCAAAAAAATTGCAAAATTTTTCTAATTCAGAATATGTAAAAGTTAGCTGCCTAATTTTGATTTGTAAGGGTGAAAAAATCCTCAGAAGTTTTGACGCAACACCACGAAAAAGTTTTGTTTTGAGCTAAAGTAAACCTTGGAATCTTGACAATTTGATTAATAATACACCTTAATTAGAAGTTCCAATGTAAAACGGGGGCTTTTGCGTGGTTTTGCGAGAAAAGTTTTGAGGATTTTTTCACCGTTACAAACCAAAGTTAGGCAGCTAACTTTTACGTATTCTGAATCAGAAAGATTTTGCGATTTTTTGATATAGATCTCGATCTGTAACTCCATACCCCATAGAAGTACTTTCCTTGTGAGACCCTTGAGATAACGTTTTCGATTGTTATTGCCGAAAAAACGATTTTAAAAAACGAAAAAACAAAAATGCCACGAACCGGGATCGAACCGGTGACCTTTAGATCTTCAGTCTAACGCTCTCCCAACTGAGCTATCATGGCGAGTGGGGAAAAGGGCTTCGGAAACGTACAAAATAGATTATAGATAGAATAGAGGCTAGCATAGAACAAAAAAAAGATTTTGGGCTTCATTGTTCTATTTCTTGATAATTTAAACATCAAAAAATTATTTTGGAATAAAATTTTATTTTCGATTTTAGATTTTTCGAGCTCGACGAGGAAACGGAAAAATATTTGCTGGATATCGAAGACACACTCGAAGTATGGTCCCATCTGCATTACATTCTACATGACATCAACATTCCCAAAGAAAAAATCCAGAGCTGGTACTATGAGGAGCGTCAAACCGCACTTAAAGAAGCCTCGAGGTATCAATTCCAAGCCCATCCGCCATTATTAAGAGCACTTTTGGAGACGGAAGACGCCCTCCTAATGTGCTGCTCCAGGTTCTCCTCATCCGAAGCGGAACTCAGTGTGGGAATGCGCGAACGAGATCTGCGAATGTGGTGCGCACAGATCCGTTACAGCACCAGGGAGTTGATCGACCTTTTCCAGCGACCAATGGCCTTCAGACCCCCATTCGTTGGCGGAAATCGAATCGGATTGATGTTAATGGAACTGAGGAGGGAGTTCATCCTAAATGGAACCATCCCTCATCTTCTGCCGGACCTAGGCATGCCGGCGGATGCAGTTCTGGGATCGGAATCACCTTTAGAGAACTATGTTCCACACGTGAATTTTGAAATCATGGATGATAATAATTTCTCGGCATTGTGGGCAAGTAAGTTATGAAACAGAACGGATATGATGGAGAGAATAGGAAGGGAAAAAATTTTTTTTGAGAGAAAAATTAATTTTTTTACAAGGAAAGTACTTCTATGGGGTATGGAGTTACAGGTCGAGACATGTATCAAAAACATCGCAAAATTTTTCTGATTCAGAATATGTAAAAATTAGCTGCCTAATTTTGGTTTGTAATGGTGAAAAAATCCTCAGAACTTTTCTCGCAACACCGCGCAAAGCTTTTTTGACCAAGTTTTTACCAAATCAAAAGCTTTGGTTTGAGCTAAAGTAAACCCTGGTATCTTGATAAGCCTTAAAATATCAAATTTGATTTTTATACTGCACCTTTATTAGTAGTTACAAATTTAGTCTTAATGTTATATAGGAACTGCTAATTAAGGTGTAGTACTAATCAAATTTGATATTTTAAGGCTTGTCAAGATGCCAGGGTTTACTTTAGCTCAAAACAAAGCTTTTGGTTTGGTAAAAACTTGGTCAAAAAGGCATTTGCATGGTGTTGCAAGAAAAGTTCAGAGGTTTTTTCGCCTTTACAACCCCAGATTAGGCAGCTAATTTTTAAATATTCTGAATCAGAAAAATTTTGCGATTTTGTTGATATATGTATCGACCTGTAACTCCATACCCCATAGAAGCACTTTCCTTGAGAGAAAAATTAATTTTTTTTTATTTTTTTGCCAAAAAATATGATTTTCTGAATTTTTAGATCCCCTGATTTTGGCGACAAAACAACAACCAGACTCGGAACTTCATCGACAAGCATGCTCAGTCAAAGCCAAACCCCCACTAATCGCATTAATGGACGAGGAAGTGAATAAAATCATCCATTGGCAAAAGGAGTTCCCAAAACATAAATTTGCGTCGAAGGTTGCCAATGAATCCAATGTGGAAGTGGCCCGAGGCGCGATTGTGAAGTACATTTTGATGATACGAGCCGGGTTATTAAGAGATATGCGGGCACAGCGAATCCTCAATTTTTATTCAAGGCATACGAGCAATGTTCAGGGACATCGAAGGGCAATTGAGGTAAGAGTTTTAAAATTATTTTTACAAAATTATAACAAAATTTTGTCATGGATAATATAAATCATTTTCAGCAAAGAGGAGACCTCCAACCACTCGCCCCCACCTTCCCACCACCACCCAGAGAACGCCATCCGCCATGGCAAGGCCCACCGCCGCTCATGGATCGGCCCCCGTTTCGGGAAGACTCCCCGAATATGCACCGAGGACCCCCACCACCATTGATGGATATAAGAAAACGCGAAAGATCTCCGCACAGAAGATTCGACAGAAGAGAACACGACCGAGAATGGGAACATCGGAGGGATAGAAGAGGACCGGCTGGAAGAATGAGAGATGTTTCACCGGGTAAGAACAAAAAAAACCACGATCTTTGATTACAAAATAGAAAATCTGGAAATTTTTTGATAAGTTAGCCGAAAGAACCTGTTTAAAATAAGTTTTATGGGTGGTAAGACGCCATGAAAATGATTTTGCTATTTCACTTTATTTGGTTTTTATTTTTTTCCGACCAAGAACGCAAAAAAGCCCACGGAAGCAAAAATGCCACGAACCGGGATCGAACCGGTGACCTTTAGATCTTCAGTCTAACGCTCTCCCAACTGAGCTATCATGGCAACGGGGAGTGAGCGCTGGGGACTCGAAGAGAAAAGAAGGGGAAAACGAGAGGGAACTTTTTAGTGAATAAAAAAAGGTTTTTTCTAGGAAAAGGAAGCTTGTTATGGGCGGGAAAATATTAAGATTACCGGGATAAGTTTGGATGGATTTGAATGGGAATGTATTTTTTTTAATTCCAAAAAAAATTTTTTTAAATATCGTCTGAGCAAATCAATTAATCCAAAGTATATTTTGATGATAAAATTTAAAGTTTCAGACCGATCGCGCTTCCGGAATGGCCGAAATTTTGGTCCACCACCTCAAGGGCCTCGCAACGGAACTGTCTTTACCCCACAGGTGCCAGAACCAACGAAAGAGAAAGAACCCGAACCGCCAAAACCGAAGAAACCCAAGAAAGTCGTCAACGAAGAAGACCTCTCCGAAGGCGAAATCCTCAGCTCGGATGAAGATTAGCCCCCAAATTTCCCACCCAGAAGTATATCAGACTCCAGTTTCACTCCAAATCTCCAAAAATCTTAATTTAATTTTTTTCATAACAATATCCACGAATTAAATGGTATTCAAAAAAAACGATATAGTTAGATGTTACAGTAATTGTTGTTATGGTGCAGTAAAGTGTAATAATCCACAATTTTTTTATTTTTTGTGTTCCCACTCATCTTGCCTATGTTAGTCACATTTTTTTATATAATTCATTAGAAACCCCAGGGATAACACGAGAATCTGAAGAAATTTTAATTCATGTGATTGTAGAGGGCTCTTAATGTAATAAAATTTAGAATGTAATTTCATTAAAAACATCCTGCAGAAGCATACGTTTCCACAGATACGGTATCTGTAGAACAAAAAACGGATCATGACTTTTTACATTTTTTTTGTATGTTTATAGAGCACAATTTTATGCTGATTAACGTATGTAAAAATCAGCTGCGGCATTTGATTAATAACTTTTTTAAGGGCCGAATTTGTGCGTTCAAACTCACATTACGGTATGCTACAGTAACCCGACTGCCAAAATTCTGTGTTTGTTATGACGGGCATAGGCTAAAACATAACTATTATCAATTGCAGCCATTTCTAATCAGTAGTTTTCCTGTAATGGTTGATTACTGTAAAATCATTAAATTGTAAATTACAGTAGGTTAATGAATGAATTGGACAAAAATATTTCAGCATTATGTTTATCGGATGACTACAGTCATTTTAAAATTAAAAACTCAAAATTCGCTTTTTTCCTATGTCTAGGCCTAACTGGCGGCTGATTCAGTGACTCAGAAATCGTGTTTTAAGTCTGCATATGCCAATTTGCAACGAAGTCTGCCGATAACGAAGATAATGAAAATGAAAATTCACGGCGACATGATTATGACTCTCATTCTGCTTACAACACTTTTCAGTTTTCTTTCACAGTTTATTGTCAGCACAACCAATTCACATACGAAATGTATCACAAGCAGCCATCTGCGGGTTTAAAAACAAAAAAAACCCCGACTTAACCTTAAGCGGGAATTATAACCGTTGCTGGTAATAGGACGACTTTGGCCTGCGCTGGAGCGAGACTGGACTGAGCTGGGGCGGCGCTAGGTTGAGCTGGAGGGGCGCTAGGCTGAGGTGGAGCGGCGCTGGGCTGAGCCGGAGCGGCGCTGGGCTGCGCTGGAGCGGCGCTGGGCTGAGCTGGGGCGGCGCTGGGCTGCGCTGGTCCTTGAGAAGCTGGAGGGAGGATGGGCTGAACTGTAATGATGCTTGGTTGAACTGGAGGGAGGCTTGATTCAAGTTGAACCGGACCGATGTTGGGTTGCGGCGGAGCAATGCTTGGTAGAACTGGAGCAATGCTTGACGGAGCTGGTGGTTGCGACGGATTGGACGGGGGCTGGGATCGAGGTGCACCTGTGCCGATGGCAACCACATTCTCGGCTTTCAAATTAAGCCCGTCGGCCGACTTGCTGGCCACAACTGCAGCTCCGGCCGTGGATTGCAATGGCACAACATTTGTTGCCGCTTTCGACGGGGCCAAACTGACGGATACTGGCGGTGGAGGAGGAGGTGAACTTGGAGGAACAGGCGGCTTTGATCCTGGTACAATCACTTGTATTGTCGCGTTATTCGGGGGTGCAGTGAGAGGTATTACCGCTGCGTTTGCAGAAACAACCAGACAACAGAGAACCAGGAGTTTCATTTTGGACAATCAAATATGAAATGTATTTTGCTTCCGATCCCTTTATAAGACGTGTACGAGGAATTTTTAATTATCCCCAGCCTCTCTTTAATTCACAATTTTCAAATTTTCAAATGGAACTGCCCCAGGGCAATTAATTGAAGACACCGGGGAGTTTAATGAGAATATGTAAATTCATTGGTTCATAAAATGACCTAATTTGGAGGAAAATTCCTTTCATAACGTAGGTTGTCTGAGGGGTCGTTGTAGCATATGAAATGTAAAATAATCACAAAAAATTGCCATTTTATACGATGAAACATTTCCAGGGTAATTTTTCGTATCGACCGGTAAATCGTATTTTTTCATCAAAATCAAAAAACATGAGAATGAACTTTGCGCATTTAGTATTTCAAAATTTGAAAAGGTCAAATTTGCATATTGCTCTACTAAAAACGGAAAAACTAAAGTCATTTTGTTTTTCAACACCTCCGAGACAGTTGGCGATTTTCAGCTGGCCTTTTGTTAATCTTCGTCTTCGAAGGGCTGTTGTGATCGACAATGAAGCCGCGTGATAGGAGTCGAGTGGGTGGGTTGATCGGAATTCATTTTCATACCGTAATTTGGCGAACTGCGCCGTAGACTTGTTTTAAAGTTTGTATTTTTTACCATGTAACTTGTCCGTATGGCACAGTGGGGGACATTGTCCAGTAGCAAAAAACGTACCATCTTGCATCCGGGAAGTATCAAAAATGTGGCAAAATACCTCCCTCTCCAAGTGAAAAAAAACCCGATTTCAAAAGCACGCCCGCTAAAACAGTCCGGTGAAGGGATTGGCAATTTGCCAAAAAAACGTTTTGTCGGGGAAGAAATGGGGAATTTTTGGGGGGAGAGAGTACATGTCTTTTTTCCTCTTTCTCTCCGAAATCAAGACGAAGTGTAAAAAACCGATAGCGAAGGGTCTACTCCGGTCACCGGACTCCTCAGTTTGACGTGCGGCGCGCCTTTCAAATCGGAGTTTTTTCACTTGGAGAGGGAGATATTTTGCCATATTTTTGATACTTCCTGGATGCAAAATAATACGTTGTTTGCCACTGGATCAGGTCCCCCACTGTAGATATTAGAAGGCTTATTATGATTACGAATAGTGGGTCCTGCCGAGACATGTTATACGATGAAACATGCCCAATTGATTTTGATCGTATAACGTGTCTATGCTGTAAAAATGTGTAACCAGGTCGTGAACGCGCACCATTGCATCGTGATGACCCAATTTAATAAACATTGATTATTATTTGATTTTTATTAAAAGTCTCCAACTGCAGGTCGAGTGCACACTCAACACAGGCCCGTCCATCGGTCGGGCAATCGAACCAACAGCCGAAATAACAGTCGCAACAACAGCAGGAACACCTCCAGAAATACGAGTAGAAACACAACAAGAGACAATTGTCGAGCCACCAAAAGCACTATAGCACCGACCCCGAAGAAGGAGAGGAAAGCGGACATTCTGGGCAAAGGAGACCTGGTTCAGCTGAACAAGCTTGAGTAAGTTGCAGGGGTTTAATTTTAGATTCAAATTATTAAATGCCTTATTAGATTTGGACAATTTTGCATAACTTACACCATCTTTCAGGATCAAAGTCAATAATATTTTGGGACGCGGCGGATTTGGTCAAGTTTATCATGTCCAGAACAGCGAGAATCTCAACCAATCAGCTGCGTTGAAGATCGAACCCCAGAAAACTGGCAATCGATTGCTGGTAAGTTTTGCAATTGTTTGGGCCATTTTATATGATGAAATGTGTCCGATAGTATTTCGTCGTATAACTTGTCACCTACACATCCCAAACGTCAATTTCTGGAAGCATATGTAATCAAAAGAATGGGAAAAAAGTTATTTTACTCTATGGATATCTCCACCTGTGAAATTCCGATGTTGGAGACATTTTATACGATGAAATGTTTACGGATAGGTTTCGTGGAATAAAATGTCTCAAGCTCTTAATTTTAAGAAATTGGGTTGGGTCTAAGCCTACACAAAATATTTTGTAATTGCTTTCAGTTTGAGAGCCTGCTTCTGACATACATTCACACCTCTCAAGGGGGAAAAGACCACTTCCCTCTGGTCTTTCGATATGGAATAATTACTGTAAAGGATACACAATATCGCTACTGTCTCTTTCAAGTCCTTGGAACAAATCTGTCAGATCTGCGACGCCAATATACAAAGGATGGAAAGCATTTTGAGGAGAAAACAATCGCTCATATTACACTGCAAACTTTCAAGGTGAGCAAAGAAGGTTTTGTTGTTTAAAATGTCACTCAAACGTATATTCCAAAATGTCGTTTTTGCTTATTTCTTGGGTTTTGAGGGGATATCGGTCCTTGATGACAAAAAAAAATTTAAGATTTTTTCGTATAAAATGTCACCTTGTTGCAAAAGAACCGCAAAATGTCTTCTTTCAGGCTCTGTGGGACTTCCACGGCTATGGATTTGGTCATCATGACGTGAAGCCTCAAAATTTTGTCTGCGGCCGAGGTCCACATGAAGCTCGGATATACCTTATTGATTACGGAATTGGTCGATTTTGTTTCGAAGGCGATCAATACGTGTATGTTGCCGTTATCCATTTGATAGACCCACTGGTTTAGCCGTCCAAAGACCAAATATCATTTCACTGGCACTTTGAAATATTGCCCTATCAACTGCCATAATAGAAGGCACCCGGATCTCAAGGATGACCTGGAAAGTTGGGTCTACATGATGTTCGAACTATACGATGACACCTCGCTGATGTGGAGCGGCAGAGACAATCCGGAGAAGATCCTGAGGGGAAAGAAATTGTTTCTTCAGGACTGTTCGTACGCCTACAAAAGAGTGCCTCAGGTGCTGGGACGTGTGGTGGAGCTTGCGGGCAGTCCGGAGTATGGAAAGAAACCGAATCATAGTGCGATTTACAAGGAGTTGGAACAGTATTATATAAGGGAAAAGTTGGTAAGTCATACGATGTGGAGAGATTTTTCTTTTGTATGTTTTGTAATACGATGATAGGTGTCTGGACGGAATATATCGTATAAATTGTCACAAAAAGACCACTATACTGACGGACCTGATCCAGTGGAAAAACGTACCATTTTGCATCCGGGAAGTATCAGAAATGTGGCAAAATACCTCCCTTTCCAACTGAAAAAACTACTATTTCAAAAATGCCGATTTTTTATAGGGCTGTTTAGCGATAAAAAGCAACATGTTTAAAAATTGCGAGGCTAAGGGCCTTAGAAACACAATTTTTGCGATTTTGATCCATTATTTCCCAAGTTTTTAGCTACAATGACGGACCTGATTCGGTGGCAAAAAACGTACCATTTTGCATCCGGGAAGTAGCAAAAAATGTGGCAAAATGCCTCCCTTTCCAAGTAAAAAAACTCCGCTTTGAATAAAAAAATTCCCTTTCCCACACAAAAAGAACGGACGCGATTTTGAAAACGGAGTTTTTTCACTTGGAAATGGAGGTATTTTGCTACATTTATGATACTTCCCGGATGCAAAATGCTACGTTTTTTGCCACTGGATCAGGTCCGCCACTGTAGATGGACGTTACAATTGGCAAAGTCATCTTTCATTCAGAAATTTTTGAAAATTAAAACTTTTTCAACCATTTATTGCCAATTTTTTACAGATTCCTTGTGAAAGAGTTGAATGGCAGAGTAAACACGAACACCTCGCACCATTTGAGGTACCCTCTGAGTCCCTCACCGATGAAGCGATTCAGTCTTTGAAGTATGACGATTGGGACCCTAAGAATCAAGAGAAAAAGCCCTTGGCGACCAAACGAGTAGCCGCTCCGGGAAAGACAAGTGATGAAGATAACATTGAACAAGAAGCCAAGAAATTCTCGGAAGACGAGTGAAATGAATGTAAAAATTGGTCTAGCTACCAATAAATATTGTGATACTCTGGTTTGACTCTTAATTCTGCGCAGGAACGTCATTGTAATTGCTGTGCATCTTGTGCAATATAATGCTTGTTTTTTATTAGGCAGAAGCGCTTTTGCAGCTACCATTGGCTATTTGTGAAGAGTTTTCTAGACTGGTCAGCCTTATTTTGAGATAACTCCGGCGCATACTTCGCTCTCTCAAAAGAAACCGTTTTCTCAATAGTATTGTTTTTTCTGCAAGTCATCCGTTTTTTGCAAAATTTGAGTTGTATGGCAACGCAATCTTTGATTGCCCGTGATACAACAGCAGATTTTTTTGCTAATTTTTACCATCTTGTTTTAGCTGCACAGCGTTTTCGAACCTGAAGACTTTCGGCGATTTGTAAAAAATAAGTTTATACATAGTAGAAGAATTCAGCACTTCAACCCCTATGTTAACTTTATCATTGGCAGTAGAGCAACAAAGTTTATCTATCCATATAGCCCATAGTCTAAGCAGTATTTGAAATTTTGAAGTGTGATTCTACAATCATGGAGGGGGAAGTTATGGCCGAAACACTGTGACCAACCCCGATTTTGGACGTAAAAAGTCACTCCGATTGAGGAGTGGCGCAATCATCAACTTTCTGCCGTCTCTCCCGTTTCGCATGAATTTCCTTTCTTCCCTCGCTTACTCATAATTCTATTTTACTTATTTTGACTTCTTGAAACAGGTCTCTGGAGGTCCAAAAAATGGAATTTTTGTCATAAATTAATCCGAGCGTCTGTAAGTAATTCTCTCATACCAACCCAAGATAAAATTTTATTTCACCGGGTTTTTGCTCAATTTTTGTTTCTATAAAAGTTTATGCATTATACAATCCTTTTTGAACTTCACGTCCATTATAATAAATAGATTCTTGACAATATCGTCCGTAATACCCGTCGTCACATTTACAAAAAACTTGTGTTGGTATGGCAAAAGTGCAAGACTCCAATTTCTCGGCGTACCGCAGATTCGTGCAAAGTCCATGGCCATTACAGTGGTGAACGGAGCACCTGAAGGCATAAAAGATCGTTACATTCGCGTTTCCAATGTACATAATATAGGGTGACCCAAAATAAGTGGTTTTTCAAGGTTCCAAAGGACAAAAAGTGTATTTTTAACTGTGTTTCACAAGGCTTTGGCGACGCCGACTTACCTTCTGCTCATGCTCAGAAACGCCGAAGAATACGGCCCAAACATGTCTTGAACATATGCCGCAATGGAATCACATCTTTTCTGCATGTTCTTACTTCCCGACCAAACAATCGCTCCATCCGCGCCGAGAAGTAAAGGCAGATGGAAAGAGTTGCAAATATCTTCCTAAAAAATATATTCGTATGATGTGTTTGTAAACGACAACGTCTTTTTGAATCTCCGTAATCTCTCTTCGTATCAAAATTGTCATTTCCGACTTTTTTTTCAGCCAAAACGGGGCCGATATTATACTAGGTATACCAGCCGGGCCCGGAAGATTTTCTTAGCAAATACCTTGGGGAGTAATCGATAAAAATTTAGAAAAATTGATTTTTTCGGATCTATAAAGCTTCTAGTTTTCCACCAGACGATTTTTTCATTATTTTCCCCTCAGGGCTTTTATGAAACCGAGACTTTCCCGCAATCGTCAATTTTGATTTTTCATTTTAAAAACAGCCAATTTTTCTAAATTGCCCTTAATAAACTCTATAAAAATTATAACTACAAATTTTATAGGACTGTTTAGCAATAAAAAGCGACATGCCTACAAAATAGCGAGCCCTAAGGGCCTTAGAAACACAATTTTTGCGATTTTGATCCATTTTTTCCCAAGTCTTAACTAATGAAATCGAATTCCTCATAGTTTTGAGCTTTTCAAATTCCTTACCGCAGAGTAGAACTCTTCATCTTCTCCGTACGCAAACTTAACATAGGCATAAATTGGTTTCCTGGCCTGGAATGTCAGCATGTTCGTCCTCAACGCTTCCTTCATCCGTGCAATCGTCTGTTTGGAATTTGTGTGATTTTCACGTCGATTGCTTGAAAAATAGACCCGTGGAAACAGAACGTCCTGTATCGCCATTAGATCCAGCAATCTGAAAAAAAAATTGAGAAAATTTTTTTTGGGTCTCCAAGTTTAACACTTTTCGATTTGTTTTTTTAATTTGGTACATCTACATGCCACAAAAAAGTCAATGAAAATTTCATCTCGTAATTTACACCCACAACAATAACGCAATCTTTTTCCGAAAGAACACACAAAATGAGGAGGGTGGGCGAGACAAAAAACATTTTTTTTTCTAACGCAATTTCCGCTCGAAAAAACTTGATTTTTTTGCGGAAATATTATGTTGCACATTTTTTAACTTTTCGAATTTTTCAAAAAAAATGAATAAAAAAATTTTTTATTTATTTTTTTAGCAGTCACAAACGCGATAAACTACCCCTCTTTTCAACTTACTGTTCATTGTAGACTCTAAACGACGCCAAACAGTCAGTTTTCCCATCGTAGCCGGCGTCATAATTGCACAGGGGATACTCCCAATATCCCCATTTGGCAAATGGCCGCAGTCTTTTGGCCAACTTTAGCGTCTCAATGAAGAAACGTCTGAAAATGGGGGTAAATATCATCAATTATATAGTCCTATTCATCCTACACTTAACTCTCAGGTTTTTGCAAAAAAAATTTAAAGAAAAAAATGAAACCCACTTTGCAGCGCTGTTGAACTCGTATCTCGCTAATCTTTCCGCACTCGTGTCGTTGATTCCATATTTCTCTCGGATCAATTCAATCGAATATTTTTGATAAACACTCCTTCCGCCATAATTGTATTCATAAATTGGTCGCCAGCATTCGTAATCAATCACAGCGATGCCGTCAAAATCTCTGTTTGGAATTAAAAGCTCAACATCTAGGACAACCTTCTTCAAATGGGCGTTGAGATCCGCGTTCTGCAATAGGAAAGGTTCTAGGGGAAAAATAAAAATTTTAAGGGAAAAATCTTTGCATCGCATTTGGGGTACTTCCCTTGTAAGCCCTGGGCGAAGGCTCAAGTTTGAAATCGCTTTTTTTATATAATAGGCGCGACATAAAGTCCGTAGAATTTTGCACAGTGCATTATTTAATTTCCCTTTTTTTCGCACGCACCGTTGCGATTCCTCGTTTTTGCACTAGCGACATGCACTTTTCGGCGATTGAACCCGCGACGTCGGCGAAAAAAATTCTACGGACTTTATGGCGCGACTATATTAATTTTCGGTACTTACAGAGGAAGTACCCCAAGTGTGACGCTCAGATTTTGATGAAACTTGGCACAAATTTAGAATAATTTTTTAAAAAATATATGCGAGAATCCTAGCTCGCGCTTTGCAGAAACAACCGAGATTTTTAGATCGCAAAGCCGGCGAAAATTTTAAACTTTTGGCCAAATTTCGGCACGAAAAGTTTCATACCGATTTCTACCGTAATGTTTCCACTAAAAATCAATTTTTTCCGCATGGAACAATCAAAGTTATGGCCAAAAAGTGTTTTTTTCTCTGACCGCTCTCCGCGTTTACTGTACTCTCTCGGCGGCAAAGATCGTTCAATATCTCGGTGGCGCTTGGAAAGCGCGAGCTAAAACTTTCAGGAATTGATATTTAGTGTATGCCCAAGGTGTGTGCAAAATTTGATGAAAATCTAAGCGTCGCACTTGGGGTACTTCCCTTTTGTTAGCGGTGCTTGCTGTCAAAGTTTTGGTTTTGCAATATTTTTCTGCGAATTTTGCCAGGAAAAGTTTCATTTCTTTTTCTACCGTAAAGGGTAATGTTTCCAAAAAAAAAATCAATTTTTTCTGCACGAAATTACCAAAATTATGGCCAAAAAAGTGTTTTTCTCTCTGAACTCTCTCCGCGTTTAGCGTACTGTACTCCCTTGGCCGCAAGGATCGTTGAATATCTCCACAGCCCCTGCAAAGCGTAAGCTGAAACTTTCAGGAAGTGATATGTGATCTATGCCCGTTACAAAACCTGGCCAACCTCACCTGCGGCACTCCGCCGTTCCGCGGATATCTGCATTCGTTCGTCGACGAATAACATTTCTTGTCGCTCTTCTCGTGAGCGCAAAATGGAACCAATCCCAGCTGCTCCTCGTAGAAAATGACAATCTTTTCCCCATCGAACTTGTGGCCTTCGTTGACGATTATCCCATAATCTTCGACACGATTATTGGGACAAATGTGATCGGGGACATTCCAGTAAATCTAAAAAAATTTATTTTTTGTTGACATCGCTAACCTCAAAAGAGCACTTGACCACTGTAACGGCAAATGCAAATAGCAGAGCCCTCTTCATTCGAATGACTCGACCGACCTTGTTGAACCGGTCATAAAAAGAGAGAATTCCCAAACATCGCCGCCATTTTTTGAATAAGACTAAAAAGTAAAAGTTTTGTCAAACAAAACTGATCGTTTCGGATTTTGGAGATGCCTTTGTGGGTGTAAAAAGGACCTCGAAAGTTTTTAGATATGTGGAGGACAGATATAAATGAACAAAACATTGCAAACATCAGAGACTTCCTTACCCAATAACTTGGGAAATAATGGACCAAACTTTAAAAAAATTGTATTTTTTGGACCTCCAGGGCACGTCAATCCAAAATAGAAGAAAAAATTTCCCGCCCCTTTTTTGGTGATTCGTTCAAAATCCGATAAAACGCATTTTCTTATCTTTCTTCTTCCTTTTCGAGAAAAAAACAATTATTTCGGGCGAGAAAAAGTGCCGATAATTTCGCGACATTTCGTCTCTCTTTTAAACCAATGAAAACGGTACGAAGTTTCGAAACGGTTCAGGAAATGCGCTGGATTGACGTGCAGGGGCTTGTTGCACAAACGCGAAATAAATAAAATAGAATTATGGGGAGCTAGGGAACAAAGAAAGTGCATGCTGAAAGAGAGAGACGGCAGAGAAATGAGGATTGCGCCACTTCTCAATCGGAGTGACGTCCAAAATCAGGCGTGGCGTCAGTGTTTCGGCCATAACTTCCCTCTCCATGATCGTAGAGTCATCGTTCAGAACTTCAAATACTGCTGAGACTGTGGGCTTTATAGATATAATATAAAATTTGTGGCTCTACTGCCATTGATGAAGTTACCATAGACCTTGAAGTTCTGAATTCTTCTACTATGTAAAAACTTATTTTTTTCAAATCGCCGGGAGTTTGTTAGGTTTAAAAACGCTGTGCAGCGAAAACTAGGACCCTTGGGTCCCAAAGAATCCGGTTTTTGTAAATTTTGATCCATGATTTCCCTAGCTATTATCAAATGAAGTCTTCACCGTCTTCCTGATCCACTCTGTATACAAAGCTTTGTTATACTGAATTTTGCAAAAAACGGATGACTGGCAGAAAAAAACAGTGCTATTGTGAAAACGCTTCCTTTTGAGAGACCCCAGACAATTCAATTTTTGTAAATTTTTGACTACGATTTCCCCAGTTATATCAAATGATATCTTCATTGTCTTCCTGATCCCCTCTTTTTTACACAAAGCTTTGTTTTATACCGGCTATTTCACCGTTATCCTGGCGTCCCATTACCCTGGAAATGGCTCTAAAAAACGCCAAAACAAATTGCTTTTCAAATCTAATTTACACCAATTTCCGATGACCTCAACTTTACAATTTGCCCTCAACTTTGACGTAAATTGTCACAAATTAATGATGGAAATCTTTTCAGTTTTCATTAAATCCTGCAGACTACTTATAGAGAGTACTCAAAAAAGGGGAAAAAAGTTCGGTTCCGCACGCAATTCGTGTTTTTGTTGTAAAGTTCTGCTTTTATTATACAGGGTGTTTCAAGAAATTTGGAACAAATGACTTGCTTATATCTTTTTGTTCTTTGCAGCTATCAACGAATTTCTTTTTGTTTCTAAAAATTGACAGCGTGCGTTTTTAGAATCTCAAAAAAATTTTTTTTTCGTCGGCGGAGGGCCCATTTCTCGGCGGAGAAAATTAGGGCCTTTTTTAAAAATCACAGCGTATTACGTGGCGGAAACGCCATTGCAACGGCTGAAATCAAGTTTACGTTACACCTCCGTCGATTTTACGATATGCTTTTTTTGCGTTTTCGATTTTACGCACTTCCGCGGATACGCGGCGGAGACCTCAGATTTCGGTGGACGTCGTTTTGGGCCTTTGGTTTTTGCAATTCATGTTGGAAAAGGAGGTTTGGGTGATTTTTTGTTGTCATCCGATGCACAGATGGCAAAAATTTCGTGCTTTTTATCCCCGGCGGAGGAGTCGGCGGAGGCTTTATCAAAGGGTAAAAACAAAACTCCGCCGATTTGTCCGCCGGACCAAAAAAATCAAAAATCTTTGAAAGACAATGCTGCTCTGATGGATTCTTGTAGCTGAGATTTTTCCCGGACTCGTAAGACTGCTTTGACCCTTTGATAAAGCCTCCGCCGAATCCTCCGCCGGGGAAAAAAGCACGAAATTTTTGCCATCTGTGCATCGAATGACAACAAAAAATCACCCCAACCTCTTTTCCAACATGAATTGCAACAGCCGAAGGCCCAAAACAACGTCCGCCGAAATCTGAAGTCTCCGCCGCGCCTCCGCGGTGCGCGTAAAATCGAAAACAAAAAAATGCATACCGTAAAATCGACGGAGGTGTAACGTAAACTTGATTTCAGCCGTTGCAACGGCGTTTCCGCCACGTAATACGCTGTGGTTTTTAAAAAAGGCCCCAATTTTCTACGCCGAGAAATGGGCCCTCCGCCGACAAAAAAAAATTTTTTTTAAGATTCTAAAAACGCACGCTGTCAATTTTTAGAAGCAAAAAGAAATTCGTTGATAGCTGCAAAGAACAAAAAGATATAAGCAAGTCATTTGTTCCAAATTTCTTGAAACACCCTGTATATCAGTCTGTCGGGAAAATAATAAGCACTCTTTGGCATCGAAAATCGCATCGCCGTCGAGAAAATGAATTGTGTCGCTTGAAAAGTTTTTTGTCCGAAGCTATGCGAAATTTGAAAAAGAACTTTTGTCTGGCAGATCTCTTGATTCTTCGTGCTCTCTCGGAAAAAAGGTTGCGTAATATCGCCGCTGCGGACGCAGACAGTGAGCTAAAATTTTCAGTAATCGAAATATAGGCCAGATGGAAAATAAAGCTCAAAATTGAAGAGCATCGGAGCTGTCTCGAAATTTTTGGGACAAAAAGAAAAAAAAATTTCACTTTTCATAATTTTTGGATTTTCTTCTATTTTAAGAAATTTTTCAGACTAAAAATTTCCCAAAAATACTAATCGCGGCAAGTCCTTGTTTTTTGCGACTTTATGCATTCTTTCAATCTTTGTTGTCCCAGTTCCATTTATCACTTTCAAAGCAAATAAAACAAGTCGAGACCAATTTGGAATTGGTTTATTAGCGCTCTAATTGTTTTAAAATTCCCGGCCCTCCGGGTGTTTATTGGATTCACCTTCCAAGGCTACATTACATTTTCTTTTGCATGCCATTTATACCATTCTCCCATAGCGTGCCGCAGGGAAAGAGGCTTGGCGTGTCCCACCCCCAAATCTTATTATTCTTTCCGAGTCCAGAAGTTCCTGAAATTAGTCGGTTCATGCCACGAGTATTATTGTTTTCGGGTTCGTGCTGGTTAGCTATTAGTATTAGGAAATTTCTAGTCCAAAATCTGGAGGGTACATCAACATGGATCACAGTAAAATCTATTTATTTAAACTTTTTTTATTTTGGGGTTTTGGCAAAAAAAGCTGCCTCTGGCGGTTTTTTTGCAGTTTTAAATCTCTGTATTTTTCCCATATGATTCGTGATTTACCGTCGCAACTTTCGAGACTATTTCCTGGGCTGTGGAGGGCAGCAAAGTTGAGTCAAAAAAAAACTTGACTTGGGTCATCATTCTCGGACTTGAAGGAAATTTTTAGCTTTTCTCGGACGGGGATTTGAACTCAGCGCCTTGTTGTTGACGATAAGTAGCTCTGCGGACCTTCAGAAAATTTTAACACCTCCAATTTTTGCCATAGACGGCAGTAGCAGAGAAAATTTTTCATTTTTTTCGAATTTTTGCGAAAAAATCAGCAGAATTTAGAAAAGCTTTCTTTTTTTTCATTTTTTCGCTTATTCTAAATTTACGACACTCCTTGCAAACAAATAGTACACCCTCCGCGACATTACCGTTCCATGTTATGCGAAAAAAACAACCGCGGGCCAGGTGCTTTTCCGTAATCGGCCCGTTAAGACTCCACCCGATTGCATCGTTAATGTCCGGGTGTATTTCCAGGTCGTTCTCTGTTCTCCCACGGCCCCCATGAAACGCGTGGAGAACGGTGAGAGCAAGCGGAGTGCCAGTTTCCCGGACGTCTCCAGCATGCTGAAACGCCAACGATCGGACCTGGAGCGGAAGTTGCGCAACCTGCACTTTGTGCATTGTGTGGAGAAGGTGGAGCTCATCGACCAGTACGACCCCGACTGTTGGGTTTGTCAGGTGAGTGACTTATTACTTTTTACCGTTAACTCGGGCACTTTTCCGCTGCAAAAATCTGCAAAAACCAAAATTTTTTTATTTTTCGATTGTGTAGATAAGATATGTAATACCACAAAGTATAATCATCTGATTTTTTTTCAAATTTTGTCTATTTACTTTTCATGGCCTACAAATGAATCCCTCAAAATTTTAGTCCTCTCTCAGCATCTACAGCGGAGATATTGCGCACTCTTTTTTCCCTAGAGAGAACGCAAAATGAAGAGAGCCGGTCAGAGAAAAAGTTTTTTGGCTAAATCTCTGCGAATTTCGCTCAGAGACGAATGATTTTTTGCAGAAATGATAACAACCACATTAAGCGTAGATTGCGAATTTTCAAGCTGAAATATCGCTACAGAATTCAATTTTTTTTTATTTTTTTTGCCAAATTCCGGAATAAGAATCTCGGAAGTTCCTGTAAACTAAAAACTTTTACATACGTCTAATGAGGTTGTAAACTAAATTTGCAAAAATCTTTCAGAAAGAATCAAATTTGGTCAAAGATTTGAAGTCAACTTTGGCTGAACACCGACGGCTAGGAATCCTGGATGATGAACTACAACTTTTGAACAAAGGATACCAAAAATGGATCTTATCGTTGGAAGCGGGACACAACAATTGCTCCACGAAAGCCGTCACGATCTCAAATGCCATTAAAAAAGCGTTATTCAACAAGTCATCCGATTCTTTGCCGGGAAAATTGGAAAAGGAGCCGGAAGAGAAGGAGAAAATGATTGTAAATATATGACTGTGCTTGTTAGAGGAATAAAAAAAAACGCTTTTCGGTGTGGTTATTATATAATACAGCCGTAAAAATCGGCCCTGCCCGATTGCCACCTCTAGTTGTAATCAAACGGAAATTTTTTATCTCGGCGGACTGCGCCCTGAATTGCGCCAAAATTTTAGCGCGAAATGGGCGAATCGAAAGAAATCTTGCTCCGCAAGCCGACTTCGATCTTTATCCTTCATTTTCCGCCAGTTTGCGTGATCTACATGGCAGGAGGCTTTCTCTTTGCCTTGGTGGAGATTAGAGGTCAAGTGCAATATGTTTTATCCCTATTTTCTGTTTTATTCCTCGCGTTTTTCTCGGCTTTGTCAAGTATAATATTCCCACGCTCTACAAAACGTCCTATTCCTTCATTTTAAGCGGTCAAAATAGGTTCGCAGCAAAGCCAGCACGAGGAACAACCCACTTCTTCAGATTCCAGGGAAATTCCGGCGGAAGAGCTCGCTGAGAAGCAGCACCATTGGATTCCGAGACCAATTGCTCGCGAGACAAAGCGTCCAAGCCAAAAGAACGTTCAGTTTGTCTTTGAGGACAGCGACCAAGGTGAGATTTTGTTTTTTTTTGTCTGTTTTTAGTTCAACGTTGATTCTCTTTTTGCTGAATGAAACCTTGGCTGTAACATTGGGGTTTTCAGAAGAACAACCCGAAATGCCTGCAAAGAAGCGTCCGCGTAATTCCGAGCCCGGAGTTATCGTGCGTGATGAGGAGTCTTTAACCGAGTACTTCAAGCCGGCTACTCCAACTTCACAGAAGCGCCGACGTCTCACGGAACGGCAGAAGGAAGTTCTTTCGAGCAAGAAGGATAAACTCCCGTTCATCGACGATGACACCCAACAAACATCATCAAATTCGATTTCGATCTTGAAGAAGCGTCTGCCGGCCGAATATTTGATAGACTCCCAACAAGATTCAGAGAATTTGTCGCAAAATGCAATGGATGCGTTGCCAATCAGGGAGGAGGTTGACGAAAAAAGACCGTTGAAGGATAGTCTAAATTCTCAAGAGGTGGGTATTTTAATTTATGTTATCTGATTTTTAGATTTTTGTTATTTTACTTGATCAAGCTGGTGCTCAAGTTTTTGATGCTATTTTTTGGAATTTCAGAAAGCCATCGGTCCCACGGACTTCTCATGCATTACTGTTGAAAAGAGTCCCTCCAAGTCCCCTCGGCAGCCGCGTTCTCCCTTACGATTGTCATGTTCTCCGCGGGTGGAATCGCCTGCTCGAAAATCTGTGCCGACAACTCCAAAAGGAGCCCATTCCAAGAAAAATACGCCAAAATCGGAGAGGCGAAAGTCTCCTGCCAGGGTTTTACGACCACGTTCGCCAGCTGGAAAAGTTATTGGGGAAGAAAATGCATTATTAACTGATGAAGAATCCGAAGGTTCGCTAAGTGATCGACCCTCTGAAAAGAAGCCAAAGAAGAAGAGGCAGTACAGAAAGAAGAATGATGAGGCAAAGGAAACAGAGAAAGGTGATCATTTGTTCAAGGAGAAGGTCGATGATGAAAAGAAACGATCGGACGATGAGGCCAAGAGGATCAGAAAAGAGAGGATTCAGGCGATGTTGGGGAAGAATAAGGAATGTGAAAAGGTAAGGGTTCCTTTTTGTTTGGATTTGGTTTTTAGGCGGCGAATTCTCCAACGCCTTTGGTTAAAACGAAGTCATCAAGCAATATGGGGCTGGTTCTTCCCCAAATTGTGAAGAAAATCGAAGAGAATGGAGCTAAAATGGAAGAAACGAATGGGAATGAGGCTGTTGAAGAGAAGAAAGTGAAGGAAACTAGTGAAAATAAGGATGATTTAGCTCCGAAGGCGACGGAGAATCAAGACGAAAAAAAGAAAAATGAGGATGTTTGTGAAAAGGTTGATGAACCACAAAAAGAATCGGCAGTTTTGATCGAAAAGGTAGCGAAAGAGGAAAAGACGGAAGACCCTGTCGAATCAAAAGAAGAGAAGGAAGAATTGAATAAAAGAGACGAATCTCAGGAGTCGGTGATCATAGTGGATGAAGTTTTGAAGACTCCACCGAAATCCGCGGGCCCTCCGAAAGTCGAAGGGACGCCTCAGAGCATCTTGAGAAAAGACGAAACTCCCAAAAGCCATCGATCCGAACGAAGGGTAACCTTCAGTGCCGAAAGCGATCGAAGGTTTAGACCAGTAAGGTTTTTTTGTGTTTATGTTGTCCAAGGGGGATCAGGCAGACTTGGATCTCTCTTTATTGGGCGTGTAATTTTTTTGCAATCTTTCAACTTAAAAAATGTAGCTCTGGTTTTTCGAGCGTGCAAATTTTTGTCAAAGTACCCCTCGGGTTCTTGGAACTAAAGGGTTTTCATTTGAGGATCTGGCAAAGCCAATGGAAAACCTCAAATATCAAAAAAAAAATCCCCGAGTTGAAATTATGATAAAAAATTGGCTACCCTTCATTTGGGGCAGATCTTGTATCGGGCCAATATTTATATCCTATGTTGCAAAATTCGTTGACTAGCTCGCCAAGGGGGTTACTCTGTGTTCACAACGGAGGGTAGGTTGCTCGTGACCAAACTCGCGACATAGGTCGTGACCGCGGTGAAGGAGGTTGTTCAAATTTACTTGAAATGGTCTCAATGCTTGACTATGATGTGCAGGACACTTTTGTTTATGTCAGCTCGATTTTTGGCACTTCAGTTGCGTCAGGTCAGAACCACACTGACTACGGTCACAATCTAGATCGTGAGCTTGATGAAGACCTGACCTAAAGAAAGTGTCTTGACCATGATAGTCAAGCATTCAGACCGTTGTCGGGTAATTTTGGGCAACCCCCTTGACCTTGGTCACGACCTAGGTCGCGAGCTTGGTCATGATCGACCTATCCAACGGTTTGAACACAGAGTAACCCCCTAGGCTAGCTAGTCAACCAATTTTACAACATTGGATAAAAAATAAAAAAAATAAATATTGGTCCGATACCCAATCTGTCCCAAATGAAGGGTAGCCAATTTTTTGTCACAATTTCACTTCAGGGATTTTTTTGAAATTTGAGGTTTTCAATTGGCCTGCCAAATCGTCAAATGGAAATCCTTTAATTCCAAGAGCCCTGAGGGTGTTTTGGCAAAAATTGCACGCTCGAAAAATCAGAGCAAGATTTTTTAAGCGGCTATCAAAACAATTTTCTCCGGTTCCTCTGGTCCACCTTGTTCTACATGATTTTTTGATGCATATAAAAGACATAACATTTTTTGAGTGAAAGTTCAATTTTCAGCGCAAAGTCCCAGCCGCCGACTGTATCGCGCCGGATTTGGTGTTTTGCAATGAATCCATCACTTCGATGTGCATGAGATTGGCTCCCAAGAAGCAAGGGATACGTCTGGATAATGTGTTGAAAAGAAAAAGCATTTGGACGATTGGGGATTTCGCTGGACTGTCCCCATCGGTGATCAAACAAGTTCCATTCATCAAGGAGCCGAAGCTGGAGAATGTGCACAATTTTTTGACGTCCTATAAACCGGTGAGCTATATTTTTTGTTTTTTTTTCGTTGACCGTTGAGTACTTTGTGGAGATTTTGTTTCAAGTTCTTATTTTCAGTCGACAAGCAGCTCTTCCCAAGAGAAACCACCTGTACAGAGCACCCCCAGAGCAGAGGAAATGTCTCCGGCGAAGAGCGACATTAGCTATGCCTCTACGCTGAATGAAACACCGATCAAAAAGAGGAACACCTTGAGTTTTGAAGATACCACAAAGTCGACGAAATCAATTGAAAAACAACTGGACTCGGAGACAAAGACGGTTGAAGAAAGTAGAAGTGAGGAAATCATCGAGAAGCCGGAGTCTCAAGAGATGGAAGTGGAATCAGTTGAGAAGGAGAAGGTAAATGAAGATAAAGTGGAAGAAATTGATGAAGCTGTGGAGAATGTGGAGAAACCAGAGTCGCAGGAGATCCCACCGAGCCCGGAAGATCAGGCTAAACTTACTGAAGGGGATTGCCACACTCCGGTGAAAGCAAATAATACTTCAAAAAGGATCTGCACCCCAATGCCTTCGAGGTCAGTGCTGGCTATGTTGAGCACGGCTGACGATGACTTTTATGATGATTCGATCCTAGAAGGCTTTGAAATGCCAAAAGAGAGCGAGAAGAAGAGTGAGAAGGATCAAGATCTATGTGAGGCGATTTTTTGAGAATTTTTGTGTTGTTTGAAAAAGGAAAATACTTCTATTGGGTATGGAGTTACAGGTCGAGACATATCGAAAAAAAATCTGAAGGGTTTTCTGATTCAGGATATGTAAAAGTTCGCTGCCCAATTTTTGTTTGTAAGAGTGAAAAAATCCTCGGAACTTTTCTCGCAACACCACGCAAATGCCCCTTTTTTACATTTGAACTACTATATTAAGGTATAAGGTTAATCAAATCGGATATTTTAAGGCTTGTCAAGACGCCAGTGTTTGTTTTAGCTCAAAACAAAACTTTTGAATTGGTAAAAACTTGGTCTAAAAGGCATTTGCGTTGTATAGTATTGCGAGAAAAGTTCATAGGATTTTTTCACCCTTACAACCCCAAATTTGGAAGCTAATTTTTACACATTCTGAATTAGAAAAGTTTTGCGATTTTTTTGGTATATGTCTCGACCTTTAACTCCATACCCCATAGAAGGACTTTGCTTGTGAAATTTTTTTGATGATTTTAAAGCTTTAGCGTGAATTCCTTGTCATTGAAATTAATTGCTCTCGTATTTCAGCCAACAAAGATACCAAACAAGAGCTGGAGAAAATCAACGAAAAATTGGATCGTCTTTTGGAGATTCAACCCAAAAAAGGAGACGTGGATCTAAACCAGATGGACGCCATCTCCATTGTGAACCATCTACACGCCAAGTTCCTCGAATTCGACCCACCCCCAAGCCGCGAATGCAACCTATTGTCGGCCGCTCTCTGCCAATTCATGAACACCTTGTGTCAAAGACAATTGCTGAACAATGCAAAGTAGACTATGGGTTTCGAAATTTTTAAAATTTGTAATAATCTCATATAACATACGTGTGGGAATTGTCTCCCCTAAAACCAAATTTAAAATTTTCCAATTGCAGTGATTTAACGTTATTTTGGTAATGAATAAAGATGTTTACTTCAGTTCTTCTTGTCCTTGAAAACTAACCTGAAAAACATGAATCACAATTGATGAAAATTGGATTTTTGGAGTCAATAGAACTTCTATTTATTTTTGGAACGATTACTTTTTGTCTAATATTGTCTCGTTTTTGAAACTTTTGATTTTTCCCGATATACCCGCTAGAGTTTTGAATTTTATTTTCGAACACGATTGAGTCAAATCAGAGCCAATAGCATCTGTATACACCAATTTGATTGGGTCGTTTTTGTCTCCAGCCCGTTTTTGTCCCCATCTTTTAGCAATCCGACCGGTTTTGTCCCCATGCCATTTTGTCCCCAATATTTTAGTTTTGAAAATTCTTTAACCAGCCAGACAATAAGTGGAAATCACAGCCAATTTTTTTTAATAGCTAGCTGAAGACCTAGATCAGCTTGCCAAACTCTCAGAATGGCGTTAAAGCCTCAAAAAAGCTAGCTAAAAGGTTGGCGTGTGCGTCAAGAAAAGTTGAAAAGCGTTTTTCCAGTTTTTTGGCTAGCCATTAGAAAATTTGAATGCGATTCCAACCCATTCGCTAGCTGCTCAAAGAATATTCAGAAATAAAATATTGGGGATGACAGAAACGGCTTGGGGGCAAAACCGGTCAAAGACAAATTTATTAAAAAGTCTAGTAAAAACCTGGATCCAACCTTTTGGCTGGCTTTTTTCGAGGATTTACAGCTATTCTGACACTTTTAGCTAGTCATTTTAAAAAGTCGGACGTCATTCCTGCACTTTGATTCCCGTTCCAATCTTTTAGCTAGCTGTTTTTGAGGCTTCAAAGCAAGCATGACACTTTGGCTAGCCGACCCAGTTTTTTGGCTAGCCCACTGCATTCCGAATTATTTTTGCCGCCGACCGGCGTCCGAAAAAATGAAAAAATGAGATACGCCTCTTACATTTTTGCCAATATCTCGCTAGCCTCGAAGTGTAGCGTGAATCTGAAAATTGTGTTTCAAAGCTGACACATTTGTCCTTCAGAATATATTAATTTTGTGATGATACTTATTATGTACGACAAGGAAACCGTTGCTGAAAAATGGCAAATTTCAACATTCAATGCCAGAAAAATGTACTTTCTAAGTGCCAGATTGCAAAATTATGGGCCTCATTGTGTACAGAATCTTGAACACTATAAGATATAACAATTTCAGGCATTTTCTGGCCCGATTCGCAGAGTTATACCCGAAAAACTGCAATTTTGGCCTTCTTATTGAGCTATCTGCACTTTAAAAGTACATACAAGAAATCCCTCTTAAATTATTGTTGCCCAGGTTGTGATGGACCATCGCGCAAAATCTCAACCTTCTACGACCTCTACGGAAAAAGTTATAACGGTTACAATATGGGACCCTCGTATGCCCAATATTTTGTAAAATACAGTACACCATGGTAAAAAATAGCTCTATATGGCCTACGTAAACTTACTCGAAACCTGAACACTGTTTCTCAGATTTTTCCGCACGAGGGACACGATTTCAAGTTTTCGCTATACTAAAGGGAAAACAGTGAAAAGTTGGGGACATAGCTGGGAAATTTTTATATGTAGTTGACCGTGTAATTGCGATAAAATTTTTTTACCCCAACCAACGCGACAGCAGCAATAGGAATTCCATCATACAAAGCCATCTTGCACCGTATTTTACCGTATTTTACAAAATATTGGGCATACAAGGGTCACATATTGCAACCGTTATAACTTTTTTCGGAGGAGTCCTGGAAAGCTGAGATTTTGCACAGTGGTCCATCACAACCTGGGCAACAAAAATCATAGAAATGTTTTTTTGTATGTACTTTTAAAGTGCAGATAGCTCAATAAGAAGGCCAAAATTGCAGTTTTTCGGTTATAACTCTGCGAATCGGGCCAGAAAATGCCTGAAATTGTTTTATCTTATAGTATTCAAGATGATGTATCCAATGAAGCCCATAATTTTGTAATTTGGCACTTAGAAAGTACATTTTTCTGGCATTGAATGTTGAAATTTGTCATTTTTCAGCAATGGTTTCCTTGTCGTACATAATAAGTATCATTACAAAATTAATATATTCTGAAGGGCAAATGTGTCAGCTTGTAAACACAATTTTCAGATTCGCGTTACACTTCGAGGCTAGCGAGATATTGGCAAAAATGTAAGAGGCAAATCTCATTTTTTCATTTTTTCGGACGCCGGTCGGCGGCAAAAATAATTCGGAATGCTGTGTAGCCATTAAAAATTTTGGATGCCATTCCAACTCATTCGCTAGCTGCTCAACGAATATTCAGAAATAAAAAATTGGGGATGACAAAAACGGCTAACACATCCATTACGATTTACCCACCCTGTAGAACAAACAATTTAGCAAGGTTCCTACGCGGCCTACGACCGCACAAACCAATCAAAGACAAAAGAATTTTGAATTTTTCCATTTTCTCTGCTCAAAATCATCTCGGAATGCCTAGTGCAATGTACGAAATTCTTACGCAATTCGGCGTCTCACATGCATGACAGAAATTTAGCAATCAATTTGTTGATGGCTCTGGTTATTTCTGCAGCCCGATTTGTTAGGGAAATCTCGTCTTTCTAACAGTTTTAATTAAAGTTCTACCGAGATGACCACCGACTCGAAGTTGAGTGCTGCGTTTGTCAGTGATGAAAGTAAGGTGATGCTTTGCAGTCCAAAACAAGTGGAAGAGACTGCAGACAACACGTTCTTGTCAGTGGAATTAAACGACAATAATCGGGTATGTAATTGCTATATTGTTTTAGATAGGTCTCAAGGTCTATAAAAGGTCCCGGAAATTTTTCAAAATCGATCCTCTAAGGATGAATGTTGCTACAGAAAGGTCTATGATGGCCTGTGAAACACTCTTGAGATCTCTCAAGTGTGGTTAAACTGGTTTTCGTCTTACGATGATTTATCCTTTATTTTATACTGCCTAAAGCAATATTTTCAGGCCCAAACTCCGTCTTCACAAAGAGCCGTTCGCATTTCGATCAGTGACAAAGACTCGGACAATCGGAGTATCGAGAAAGCCCCACGTTTCAAACGACTTCATCTGTACCTACTAATCATCTCATTCATCCTGGTCTTTCTATTAATAGCACTCTGTTATTATTACTCGTAATAAATAAATTTATTATAACATAATACATTATTATAACATAATGTAACAAAATCTATTACAAAAATCGACTTAAAAAATTCTCTCACCAAACCTTCAACCATCTAGAGGAAAGGCTGGTAAACAGAGTGCGAGGAGCCACCAGTAGAAAGATTCAATAACACCTTTTACGAGAAGCTCTGATTTCCCATCCTAATATCATCGGTCACTGTCGCTCCGTCATTGCATGTATCCATTAGCGAAGCTTGGAGAAGGCCTAGTTAGCAGAAATAATAAGATTGGTCGGGTCCTTGGATGGCTTATCGCCTATTTTGAGGTATTTCACACGTATTCGCATCAACAATGTCCACGTAAACGCTACGGATCTTCGTTTTTTCGCCGCAAATTTTGGTCTTTTATATGTTAGAATAACACGGAGAAGAAAACTAACGTCATCAATAGCTGAAATTAAAAAAAGTGGACATATTTGCAAGTCTTCGTCATGTCTCCGCCGAGCCATCGCCGAGCATTCGCCGACCATCCTACGGCTTTCCCAGGCCATAATAGTGGAAAGACTTGCGGTGTTAAAATTTCATTCGGTAACGTTTCGAATGGTATAGGTCACGTCTATTCACTCCGACATCTCTAATTCACTTTTTTTTTAAATCGGTGCCTAGTATAATATTAGAGTGTTTGGATCGGTACGGGCGCAGTTTAGCTCCAAACAAGGCGAAACTAGCGGTGTTAAAATTTCATTCGGTAACGTTTCGAATGGTATAGGTCACGTCTATTCACTCCGACATCTCTAACTCACTTTTTTTTAAATCGGTGCCTAGTATAATATCAGAGTGTTTGGATCGGTACGGGCGCAGTTTGACTCCAAAGAAGGCGAAACTTGCGGTGTTAAAATTTCATTTGGTAACGTTTCGAATGGTATAGGTCACGTCTATTCACTCCGACATCTCTAATTCACTTTTTTTTAAATCGGTGCCTAGTATAATATCAGAGTGTTTGGATCGGTACGGGCGCAGTTTGACTCCAAAGAGGGCGAAACTTGCGGTGTTAAAATCCCATTCGGTAACGTTTCGAATGGTATAGGTCACGTCTATTCACTCCGACATCTCTAATTCACTTTTTTTTTTAAATCGGTGCCTAGTATAATGTCAGAGTGTTCGGTCCGGTACGGGCGCAGTTTAGCTCCAAACAAGGCGAAACTTGCGGTGTTAAAATCTCATTCGGTAACGTTTCGAATGGTATAGGTCACGTCTATTCACTCCGACATCTCTAATTCACTTTTTTTAAATTGGTGCCTAGTATAATATCAGAGTGTTCGGTCCGGTACGGGCGCAGTTTAGCTCCAAACAAGGCGAAACTTGCGGTGTTAAAATCTCATTCGGTAACGTTTCGAATGGTATAGGTCACGTCTATTCACTCCGACATCTCTAATTCACTTTTTTTAAATCGGTGCCTAGTATAATATCAGAGTGTTTGGATCGGTACGGGCGCAGTTTGACTCCAAAGAAGGCGAAACTTGCGGTGTTAAAATTTCATTTGGTAACGTTTCGAATGGTATAGGTCACGTCTATTCACTCCGACATCTCTAATTCACTTTTTTTAAATCGGTGCCTAGTATAATATCAGAGTGTTTGGATCGGTACGGGCGCAGTTTGACTCCAAAGAGGGCGAAACTTGCGGTGTTAAAATCCCATTCGGTAACGTTTCGAATGGTATAGGTCACGTCTATTCACTCCGACATCTCTAATTCACTTTTTTTTTTAAATCGGTGCCTAGTATAATGTCAGAGTGTTCGGTCCGGTACGGGCGCAGTTTAGCTCCAAACAAGGCGAAACTTGCGGTGTTAAAATCTCATTCGGTAACGTTTCGAATGGTATAGGTCACGTCTATTCACTCCGACATCTCTAATTCACTTTTTTTTAAATTGGTGCCTAGTATAATATCAGAGTGTTCGGTCCGGTACGGGCGCAGTTTAGCTCCAAACAAGGCGAAACTTGCGGTGTTAAAATCTCATTCGGTAACGTTTCGAATGGTATAGGTCACGTCTATTCACTCCGACATCTCTAATTCACTTTTTTTTAAATCGGTGCCTAGTATAATATCAGAGTGTTTGGATCGGTACGGGCGCAGTTTGACTCCAAAGAAGGCGAAACTTGCGGTGTTAAAATTTCATTTGGTAACGTTTCGAATGGTATAGGTCACGTCTATTCACTCCGACATCTCTAATTCACTTTTTTTTTAAATCGGTGCCTAGTATAATGTCAGAGTGTTCGGTCCGGTACGGGCGCAGTTTAGCTCCAAACAAGGCGAAACTTGCGGTGTTAAAATCTCATTCGGTAACGTTTCGAATGGTATAGGTCACGTCTATTCACTCCGACATCTCTAATTCACTTTTTTTAAATTGGTGCCTAGTATAATATCAGAGTGTTCGGTCCGGTACGGGCGCAGTTTAGCTCCAAACAAGGCGAAACTTGCGGTGTTAAAATCTCATTCGGTAACGTTTCGAATGGTATAGGTCACGTCTATTCACTCCGACATCTCTAATTCACTTTTTTTTTAAATCGGTGCCTAGTATAATGTCAGAGTGTTCGGTCCGGTACGGGCGCAGTTTAGCTCCAAACAAGGCGAAACTTGCGGTGTTAAAATCTCATTCGGTAACGTTTCGAATGGTATAGGTCGCATCTATTCACTCCGACATCTCTAATTCACTTTTTTTTAAATCGGTGCCTAGTATAATATCAGAGTGTTTGGATCGGTACGGGCGCAGTTTGACTCCAAAGAAGGCGAAACTTGCGGTGTTAAAATTTCATTTGGTAACGTTTCGAATGGTATAGGTCACGTCTATTCACTCCGACATCTCTAATTCACTTTTTTTTTAAATCGGTGCCTAGTATAATATCAGAGTGTTTGGATCGGTACGGGCGCAGTTTGACTCCAAAGAGGGCGAAACTTGCGGTGTTAAAATCTCATTCGGTAACGTTTCGAATGGTGTAGGTCACGTCTATTCACTCCGACATCTCTAATTCACTTTTTTTTTAAATCTGTGCCTAGTATAATGTCAGAGTGTTCGGTCCGGTACGGGCGCAGTTTAGCTCCAAACAAGGCGAAACTTGCGGTGTTAAAATCTCATTCGGTAACGTTTCGAATGGTATAGGTCACGTCTATTCACTCCGACATCTCTAATTCACTTTTTTTAAATTGGTGCCTAGTATAATATCAGAGTGTTCGGTCCGGTACGGGCGCAGTTTAGCTCCAAACAAGGCGAAACTTGCGGTGTTAAAATCTCATTCGGTAACGTTTCGAATGGTATAGGTCACGTCTATTCACTCCGACATCTCTAATTCACTTTTTTTAAATTGGTGCCTAGTATAATATCAGAGTGTTCGGTCCGGTACGGGCGCAGTTTAGCTCCAAACAAGGCGAAACTTGCGGTGTTAAAATCTCATTCGGTAACGTTTCGAATGGTATAGGTCGCATCTATTCACTCCGACATCTCTAATTCACTTTTTTTAAATCGGTGCCTAGTATAATATCAGAGTGTTTGGATCGGTACGGGCGCAGTTTGACTCCAAAGAAGGCGAAACTTGCGGTGTTAAAATTTCATTTGGTAACGTTTCGAATGGTATAGGTCACGTCTATTCACTCCGACATCTCTAATTCACTTTTTTTTTAAATCGGTGCCTAGTATAATATCAGAGTGTTTGGATCGGTACGGGCGCAGTTTGACTCCAAAGAGGGCGAAACTTGCGGTGTTAAAATCTCATTCGGTAACGTTTCGAATGGTGTAGGTCACGTCTATTCACTCCGACATCTCTAATTCACTTTTTTTTTAAATCGGTGCCTAGTATAATATCAGAGTGTTTGGATCGGTACGGGCGCAGTTTAGCTCCAAACAAGGCGAAACTTGCGGTGTTAAAATTTCATTCGGTAACGTTTCGAATGGTGTAGGTCACGTCTATTTACTCCGACATCTCTAATTCACTTTTTTTTAAATCGGTGCCTAGTATAATATCAGAGTGTTTGGATCGGTACGGGCGCAGTTTGACTCCAAAGAAGGCGAAACTTGCGGTGTTAAAATTTCATTTGGTAACGTTTCGAATGGTATAGGTCACGTCTATTCACTCCGACATCTCTAATTCACTTTTTTTTTAAATCGGTGCCTAGTATAATATCAGAGTGTTTGGATCGGTACGGGCGCAGTTTGACTCCAAAGAGGGCGAAACTTGCGGTGTTAAAATCTCATTCGGTAACGTTTCGAATGGTGTAGGTCACGTCTATTCACTCCGACATCTCTAATTCACTTTTTTTTTAAATCGGTGCCTAGTATAATATCAGAGTGTTTGGATCGGTACGGGCGCAGTTTAGCTCCAAACAAGGCGAAACTTGCGGTGTTAAAATCTCATTCGGTAACGTTTCGAATGGTATAGGTCGCATCTATTCACTCCGACATCTCTAATTCACTTTTTTTAAATCGGTGCCTAGTATAATATCAGAGTGTTTGGATCGGTACGGGCGCAGTTTGACTCCAAAGAAGGCGAAACTTGCGGTGTTAAAATTTCATTTGGTAACGTTTCGAATGGTATAGGTCACGTCTATTCACTCCGACATCTCTAATTCACTTTTTTTTTAAATCGGTGCCTAGTATAATATCAGAGTGTTTGGATCGGTACGGGCGCAGTTTGACTCCAAAGAGGGCGAAACTTGCGGTGTTAAAATCTCATTCGGTAACGTTTCGAATGGTGTAGGTCACGTCTATTCACTCCGACATCTCTAATTCACTTTTTTTTTAAATCTGTGCCTAGTATAATGTCAGAGTGTTCGGTCCGGTACGGGCGCAGTTTAGCTCCAAACAAGGCGAAACTTGCGGTGTTAAAATCTCATTCGGTAACGTTTCGAATGGTATAGGTCACGTCTATTCACTCCGACATCTCTAATTCACTTTTTTTTAAATTGGTGCCTAGTATAATATCAGAGTGTTCGGTCCGGTACGGGCGCAGTTTAGCTCCAAA